ATTCCCTGCTCAGCCAATGGCTCCCATAATTGTTTCTAACCTTCAGTTATCAACAAAGCCATTGACTTCAATACCGGTCAGGGGCCAAAGGGCTTTGTTTTCCGGGATCCACGGAGACATAATTGGGCAAGCCACTGTGTTCACAATGGCTTCCACAGAGTCAGTCAGTGTCGAAGCGCCTTCGTATCGTATCTCGCATGCCATCGAGTCACCAAGCAAGTGCTGAGGAGAAGCATTCGATGAGAGCAGTACACTAATTCCGGGGAAAACTCCTACAAATGTTACTCAAGTAATATTACTCCGATACCCCCTATATACCCAGTACCGGTACCCAGAACCCGGGACCCGCCACTAAGTCCAACCAGTACCAGATACAGTTTCTGCCAAAAGAAAGGTACAGGAAATACATAAGAAAACTACAATTCCAACGGAAGAACCACAGCACCCAATAACACACGGAGACACATTCCCAGCCCAGCATTGTTACTCCAACGTACACATTAATCCTATAGTCCCATAAGTACCGAAAAGCATTGTTACTCCAAACTCATCCTCTAAGTGGGAGCTTTTTTGCTAGCGTGGAAGGCTTCAACTCCTCACAAAATAGACTGTTCGATCTCTGTTGTTTCGTTGATTCTGTTAACTCGACCATGGCCACCGGAGCTGCTACCCATGACACTGGATGGGTCTACCCCTTCAAGAAGACACACCAGAGCACAATGGTAGCCTTCATGTCTCATTTCCATGATCGCGTCTACCCCAAGAACAAGGAATTCAGCAAGGAAGACCTCCTCGCGATCACTCCCTCCAATGTGAAAGCTTTCTTGAATTTTCGAGCTTATGGCAAAGACAATCCTGGCGATGGAGACTTCCCTATCCTCATGCGCTCCGGCTCAGTGGAGAAGCTGAAGCAGAGCATCAGCTGGTACATGGTGAACAAAAATGTGCCATGGTTGGATGGCCGTGGAGGGAATCCAGCCCGACATGTTTCTTTGAATGAGCTGATCAAGAAGATTGAGCGACACGAAGCTAGAGATGAAGGCAAGGATGCCAATGACAAGCGAGCGTACAGCAACAACGAATTCTACAAGGTGCTGGAGATGTTTCGCCGGAAGGAAGATTTTAACCACAAACACAAGTACACAATGATGTCACTATGGAGTTATCATCTCATCCATCGGCTTGATGACACATGTCATTTCAAAGTGGAGGCTCCACACGGATCGATCGAGCATCCATTTGCAATCTACACCAAGACTCAGTACTCCAAAAACGTCCGGAGCATGAGGGATTGTCCTGATCAGATCCTTCTTGGTGCCGCCGAATGGAAGGTCTGCCCCCAACTCAACTTGGCAATTTACCTTGACAAGTGGCTTACACTCAATCCAAATGCAGTGCACCTGTTTACAGAGAATGACGATACGCAGAAAGGACCGCACAACTTGAACCAGCAGTATAGCAATCGCATCAAAGCAACTGTGTGGAAGCACGATGAGTTCAAAGCCTTGGAGGACCAAGTTGGATCAGCCAAGAAAGGGGTTGGCACTCATAGCATGAGAAAGTTTGCTTCTACCAAAGCTTCTCGCAAAGGAGCCAATACCAGCATGATTGAGTATCGTGGACGATGGGTAGGAGACAAGTCCGGACGTGTTGTTGCACTCAGATACATTGACAAGACAGACAACTATGCTGATGCTTTCGTCGCAGGTCTTCTATGTGATGGAGGAGCAATCAAGTACGTTGGACGAAATATTGGAGACGATTTCCTCCACGCTCATGTGGTGAGTCACATCAAGGCAAGAAGACCGGAGGACCTTCGCCTGCTGCGAGTGCTTGGATTGGCCAAGCTATGGGCTGTCTTCGATCCTGAAGCAAGCAGTCTACTGGAAGAGGACGAAGTTACATACATTAAACAGATGTTTGTTAACAGTTATGGGCCTATCGAAGCTGGAAGCAATCCAGTCAAGAAGGTCGGTCTGGAAATTTTCAATGTCAATGGCGAGTTGGATATTCGCGAACGTGGAGATTCCTCCGGTCCAGGAAATGGCGGCGCTGCTGCCGCCGGAACAGCCACCGCAGGTCCACCACTCACTCACGGAGGCCCAACCAACAATCAGTTGATTGCCTACTTGAAGGCCGTGGAGCAGACAATGCTGACGAACTTCCTACAGCAACAAGCAAGAGAGGAAGCACAGAAAGCTTGGTTGAATCAACAATTTACCAAGCTCCTTGCCAACCAGCGCCGCTTTGGTGGCACCATTCCTCAGGCCTTCACGCGACAGGATCCAATTCAGAATGCTGCAAGAAGGGCTCATGCTGATAGAGTTGAAGAGCAGAGACAAGGAGAGATTATTGTCCACACCGAACGACTTTTGGTAGGAGATGATCCCACTGCAAGACTCTCTGACAGGCCCAGGTCCATCAATGAACTGTGGGAGGAGTACACTCATGGCATTGGCGGCAACAAGCCAGCAAAGGACTTTTCCATGGCAGAGAAGAACAACAAGGTTGGAAACATCAAGCAGAAATATTACAGGCGCAGAGCCCTCTGGAGAGTCCAGGATTACTTGATTGCTCGCTGCAGGTACACCAATCATGAGGCTAATGCAAAGATCCAAGCTTGCTACAACACAACCTTGGTGAGCAACATCATCAATGGCATCATCAAAGACAGCAAGAATGAAGCCTTTCCCATTATTGGTGTGACAGAGACAAGAAGAAAGAACTTCCGAATCAACCAGCAGCTCTACAACGCAACAAACTAACAACCACGCGGTACGACTTGGACGAGAAAGTGTTGACCAGTGAAAGGTCTGCTGGCTCACTGAAACATCCAAGCTAGCGAAGAGTTAGAGTGCATCAAGATGCCCAAGATCGCCAAGCCCTACAGAATATCGAACATGTAAGTGCTTTTCCTCCTTGTGTAGAGATGGTACCAGCCCTACAGGATAACACTCACAATCACTCGTTCTTTGCTCTTCTGTTGAAGAAGAAGGTTGGGATTGAGATGGGAGCCATCCATGTGGAGTCGAGGGGGCCTCAAAACTTTCGAAGAAGCAAGCTGCCTAGCTAGTTCATGTTGAAACGACGGCTGTGTTCTTGACAGTAGTAGATCTGCACTTTTACTTGAATTTGATTGCCTGGTCTCCTCCTCTAGCTAGCTAGCTATCGTCCACTGTCAGTTTTTCCTTGATATCCAAGTTGTAAACTTATTAGATATGGTGATTTTGTTTCGCCCCCCGAACGGGTTGTGTTCTACTGTACGTTGCCAGTTATGCATAAAGCGAAATGGCTAGAGGTGCAGGGATGGCCACCAGCCAGCCAAGCCATGGCTGACACCAAACAAATGATCCCTCGGTAGTACCGGTACCCGTAGCAGCTAGCCAGAGTGCACAGTACTGTACTAAAATAGGATGATGAAAGGCCGAGGATTCGACTTGGCTCGGCCACTGTTCAGGGATAGAATGGTTGTTCTCAGTAGCTACTAGTACAGTAGCCAGCCAGATTCGAGTAATAGGTTCCCAGTCACAACTTTTTAGCTAGCTACTACCGTAGGCACCTTTCATCTTTGGCTGTGTACAGGTGCCGTACTCTAGAGTAGCTGAGCAGCGAGCGAGGAGCTGGTTTGCTTCGTATTCTACTTCCTTATTAGCTACTAGTACTTGGGCAGACAGTCAGAGTCAGACAGTCAGCCAGACAAAAAGCAACCAAGAGTGCTTTCCTTGCTTGGCTTGTTTGATTGTTTGCTTGTTCCTCGCACGGGCAGGGATACTACAGCACCGGTAGTTCCAATGTTGGTTGCGTCTGCGGCCGTTTGCACTCTGAAGGCTTCGAGCTATGAGCAACTGTTACTGTACTAGCGGCGGCAAATACTATAAGCTAGTTTTGTAGTTTGCAAGAATAGGTTCTAAAAGAGTTTTTAGATTAGAAGCAAGATAGCTGTAGTATGATAGAGAAGCAGGAAGGAAGCTGGGAGGCAGTACTGTATAGCTAATAGCGAGGAGGTCGTTTTGCATTGCCTTGCATTGCATTGTGTTTAGCAAGAAGTAGACAACTGTTTGGGTTTCAAAAAGTCGGCCGATTTGGTGGCCAGGTACTTGTTCCAGGACGCCCATTTGTCTTTGCGAAGGTACGAGAGAGGAGTATTTCCACGCTTGTCCTTGATGTAGAGCAAATCGGGACATGCCGTCAAGATCAAGTCAATGAGTTCAAAATTGGTCGTGTGAGCCCAGCAGGCATCGTGCAAGGGTGTGCGACCATAGTCGTCGCAAACAGCAAATGGCACACTAGCCGTTTGTGTCAAAAAGGTCGTCACTTCGACCATGTTTTTGCGACAGGCCATGTGGAGGAGCGACTCTCCAAACTTGTTGGAGCACTTGAGAGGGCGGCCGGTGGCGTGGAATTGACGAAGGACGTCCATGTTTTGCGTGCGAATGGCAGCCAGTGCTTCGTGGTCGTAGGCATCAATCTCGGCTTGAGTGGGAGCATGGAAGAAATCGGCACAGTCGGCGTACGATTGAAGAGGAGCTTCTTGTGCGAGTGTCTTGGCGACGGTAGTGTCGGGGCTGCATTCGTTACTACTAGATGCCAACATGCGATCGGGAAGACTCGACATGACGATGCGACGCATCTTGCGGGCTCCAGTGCTGCTAGTAGTGGTAGTAGTGGCGGTCTCGTACTTTCGCTTCATGGTAATGGCACACATTATTGTAGTAGTGATGGTTGTAGTGGTGATGGTTGTTGATGTTTGGGTTTTATGCACTCACATTCACACTGTTGCCAAAGCATTCCGAGAAAGGCTTGTTGGTCTTGTTGTTGAGCTGTTGCAATTGTTGCGAAAGCCGTGGTGGCCTTTGTGCCACGCAAAGCAAAAACTGGCCGAACTGTGGTGGCTCCGTTGCCACCTCAGTGCCACCAATTGAAGTTGCTTATGTCAGCTTGCCCGAACTTCAAACATGGAACAGGCTGATTGTCATTTCACGATCTGAGCTGTCCGCACCTTGCCACCGCAACGGCAGCGCTTTCTATAGAAATTTCAGTATGACAATCGACATCTGCTCTTGCTCCCAGAGACTCAGAGGCTGTGAGGTCATGCAGTCCAAAGGGCAATACCCACAACCCGGAAAGTGCCATTGCTGTTCCCCTTGCTGGTGGCGATTGCAGTTTGTTGGGTGGCAAGAGCTGTGGAAAGCCTTCTGACGTGGTACTCTGAATCGCAAACACTTACTTGTTTAGAGTTAGAGTGAATATTTTCGCAAAAAGCAAGTTTGGCCTCAAAACCAGAAAAAATGCTAGACTGAGGCTCGGTCTTATGGATCTTGCGGCTGGCACCTCCATTCTGATCTTTGTGACGCAGCCTGTGACGTGTGGCACATGGTGGAAGATTGACACTGAGGGGCAGTCTTAAGGAAACTGAGGTTCATTCTGCCCGGTGTGGCTATCTTTGCATCTTATATTTAATGTCATAGTCCCCTGGTCCAGAGGTCGGCAGGCGACTATTAAGAAATTAATCAAGATGGGAGCCCATCTTCCAAAATTATTACGACCCAAATCAGCTTCCAAGATGGGATCCCATCTTGATTAATTTAGCTGGGCGCGTGCTACTACGACATTTGGCCCAGAGTTGCGACATATTTTGCGTCACAAAGATAGAACATAGGTCGATTCCCGATCCATAAGACCGAGCCTGATGAGACATGGATACGGAGACCTTTGGGCTGACAAAAGCACCTCGACTGAGGCTGTGTACGATACGTACCAGCGCACACCACCTCGGATTCATTCGATCCTATTATGATACCCACAAAACAGTTCACAAACAAACCCATTGACTTCGGGACCTTTTTGAACGCACGATGTTATGGATTCAAGAGCTCGTTCCCGATCCCTGTCTGGGTACTGGTATGGGTCGTCATGCTTTGTGGGGGGCGGTCGAGTCGAGTCAGCCGATGACAGCTAAACCAGCTCTGAAAGGAAAAAGGCGGCAGCCAGCGGCAAGAATCCCTGCAACCATCACGGATACACTGCCTGTGGAGAGTTTTACGGGATACATACAAGCAGAGGGCGGGACACATCCAGATCCAAAATTCCACGCCATTGCGATGTTGTTGTCCGCAAAGCCAGCCACCATTGCCAGCGTTGCTTAGAAGTATTGCAGTCCTGAGTTTGGTCCGAGAAAATGAGTTTCCATGGATGCACACACTTGCACAGCTAGCTGCTGCTGCGAACAGGTTGGTTTGAGATGCTCAAGTGTTGGCATGAAAAAAATGGATGCCCTTGCGATCGATTCACATGTGCTGTTGTTGCTGCTGGAAATGGTCATTTGGAACTTCTTTTGGCCAGCGAGAATGATTCGCCATGGGGAGAAGAAACGTGTTCATTTGGCTGGCTGCCGCCAATAGAGGGTCCTCGGGGATTCTTGATTGGGCCAGTAACAATGAGTGTCCGTGGGATGATGCATGCTGCTGAAGAAGGAGGGCATCTTGAAGTTCTTAGATGGGCACCCGAGAATCCTTAGAAAATATGTGGTACGAGGTCGTCTTTCCTCTGGATACCAACCAAACAAAAACAACATCACTGCTTTTCTCCAATTGCCGTGGGGCAAGCCGACCTGTATTCGAGGTGCGCTTGTAAAATGAAATGGAAGCAAGGGTGTTTTCAGCTCCAGCCACCCTCAAGCCCGCAAACAAGACGAGCACCGGGAGAACCTTGCGCTACCATACTCCATAGCCAGAACGCACAGAGTGTTATAATAGTAGAGAATATATATAAGAATACTGTATTAAAAAATGCTTCGACGATCTTGTGTGCACACGCGGAAAGTTTCTGTTCTCGTCCAGCCGTTTTACGTGCTACAGTCATACCGGTACCGGGACGCCCTCACAAAACACAAAATAAATGCCATGTATCTCGAAAAGGATGGCTTCAGATCGTGTTTCTCTCTCTCTTGACGACACCGTTAATATGGAACCGCAACACGTTTTATGGAACCGCAACAACAGATGCATCCAGCCGCCGAGTAGAGGGATTAGGAATGATCCCAATGTCTTCTTGGTGTAAACAGTGCATGGCTGTCGCAGTCAAGAGAAGCAAGAAGCAAGCGTTGAACATTGTTTGTTCAACGCACGCGAATATCGAATCTCCTGAACACGACCCCGAACATTGAAACTGGACCGCAAAACTTTATCAGTTCATGGACGTGACCTGGCAGCATTTTGTTGGACTATCATCCAAAGTAAGACCAAGCCTTCCGAACTGACTTGTTCTACCGATACGCATGGGACTTGGGGGGGGGTGCTCTGGATGTCTACTGCCGTCGCAATACCACTACTTTGGATTGGAATCCTACAGTGCTTGATCTTATGCAAAAGATATTTCAAGTACGGTTGTTACTGGCCACGGATGAGCCTCGCTTAAGTTTTCACGATGATTCTATTCCAGAGTACCGATACCGTATGGAGCAACCAGAGCTTCTCCAATGTGGTGGTAACGAGACCAGAACTTCGGCCAAGAACGAGGAACACGAAGACCCATACCATTACCCGAAGAAGAAAGTTAGCCAGAGCAAGAGCAACTCAATATGTGCGGTATTATGGCAGCCGCGTTGAGCTATCTGTAGATAGAGAAACGTTCTTCTGCGGCGTGCGCCGCTCCTCTTCCTTTCAAAAAAGTGGATACGCTGAAGTAAGTGTACTGTGAGGCTATGCTGGAGTGCACTATGACAAAGCTGATCGCACAAGCTCAAGAGCTCATCAAAACCACAGCAGACTGGTACTTGATACCAGTAGACTATCGTTCACCAATATCTCTTTGGCGGGCCTGTGGGCCTGTGGCGGGTTAGCCCGCATTTGCAGCATACGTCACAAAAAAGCCGCATCCTCGCAAAAGAGCAAAGAGCCTGCTTCGCATCCCCGCTACTGGAGAACTACATGACATTGTAGCATGAGCTAATGCTCTGCGTTCCAGCCAAACTGGGCTTACAGATGATGGAATAGCAGAATTCCACTGGCAGACTCTCTGTTGACTTCCTATCTGTCTTCTTGCCCGTAAGCTTCCGAGGTTTCCCTTAGGAGAGAAGTCTCCTCACTCCTCACTGCTCACTGCTACCAATAATATCCAGTCGCTAAAGCTTTGCTTCTGAACCGGTTCTTTGCTGGTAATGATGAAACCAAACTTTCTACGCTTTTTACGTCAGATGTAGCAACTAGCTAGACCAAATGAACTACACACATCTATCTTATGATAATGATGGTCGATATGCATGCTTATGTGTACAGGGGCGATTGCAGCCAACCTAAATACTTGTGTGTTGCGTCGTAGCACCTCTTCGGAAGTCTCTTATAAGCCTGATGACAAGTGACTGGTTCGTGGTCTCATTTGCTTGCTTCCCAACATGCCTTCTTAGGCCGCAGAGGCCCCTCTTTTGAGCTGTACGCTCTGGGAGAAGATGTGCGCATTCCATGCAATGCAATCTCTGCTTCGTAGGTCAACAATAGGAATGTTCTCTTCCGTCTGAAGCAGGTCTTGGCCCATTTTCATTAGTTTGGCTGACATTTCAACCCGGTTCATGTCAAAAAGAATCTCCGCCATGTTGCTCATAGCTGCAACGGAGAGCCCAATCAACCGCGCAGCGTCCTCCGTTGAATGAACCATCTTGAGGTACTTCATGGAGCGCTTGTAGCACTGGACGGCCTTGATCCCCACTTCGAGTTTGCTTGACGAGGAAGATCCAAACTGGTACTGAAGTGCCAGTGCTGTGTTGAAGTTAAGGACGCAGCAGAAGGTGTGTTTGTCTTCTTCCGCCATACAGCCTGTTCCAAAGCACTGGAGGGCCTGGGGCACGGCAATGGCAAAGCTTGAAGAGCTTGTGTCCACTTCCAAAGGGACAATAGACAAAGGCAACGAAGGAGCCTCTGATCCTTGGCAAAAATTGTCTTGCTGAATCATCGCCACGGCCCTTGCAAATAGGACAAGGGCATCCTTGGCGTTCCCCGCCGCCAGGAGCCCCACGCCTTGGTTGTTCACGTCGCAGATGTGCTGGAATGTCATGTTGATTTTGATGACTTCTGAAAGAAGGGTTGATGACTTGGCTCTGCGGCTGCAAGAAAAATTGTGAGCAAACAGAGGATGCTACCTGTGGGATGCGCCTGAACCAGAATCGCACGGAAGCATGGAAGGAGTGGAAGCGGAGTCGAGTCGAGTCTCCTCCAGGTTCTCCTTGCCAGTCTGCGCTGATCCATCATCTGTCATCTGTCGATAGGGACTTGGCTGACGATCTTCGTAAATGTTTTGGTTGAATCATTCTGATATGAGTACTGATTTATCATTCATCAATCAAAGAACCCAGAATTCCCAGATGGCTGCGGTACCGGTACAGCTAGGGTTACTCAGTAGAGCTCTCAGTATTAAGCTCGAACAAGTCAACAGTTACTACAGTACTTCTCTATCTTGTGCCTTTTGGCTCAGGGCTCAGAGTACACGAGTACACTACTCTTTTATTATCAACTGAAACTCTCCTTGAACATTTTGGAGTACGTATGTCTTATGGATGTACTACCGTACAGGTCCAGGGGCCAGGGGGTTTTATGAACTTGAACGCAGAGCCGAACTGCGGCAAGTCGAGCATGTGGTCATACAGTGTAGTGACCGGTAGCACTTCAGTTAATTAAATCTTCTCTACGCCAAACAGTCTATGTATAGGCGACAGCGAAAGTGAGCTGAAAGTGTCACGACAGTGTTCCAGCAAATAAATTTTAATTATTGGTACCCGTACCGGTAGCCAAAATCGCAAAATCGCCTTCAGCGCCCAGCGGCCTTGCTTTTGCACCAACCAATAGCAAAATGCAGACGCTTTCAGCGTCTAGCTAGACAATGCCAGTTCACTGGGAAAGGAACAAACAGCTTAGTACAACTGCAACACCTAGGCTTATTCTTGGGCTCTTCTACCGTATCCGCTGCCTAAGGTTTGAACCATTTCGGTAGGAGTTTCTCCAATCGCTCACCGGTCCATGCCACAGTTGCCGGGAAGTCTTTTTGACATGGCGTCTGCCTCGGCCTCGAATTCAAACTTGTTCCGCCGAAAACGGTTGCTCGAGCGAGCAATCAGAGCCAAGAACCCACCCACGCACCGCCCACATCCAGTGAAGAGCATGACTTTTTGTCAGTGGCTCGTTTGCTGGCTGGCTGTGCTGATGAGGGATAGTAGGCGTGAGACCGATGTAGCTAACTACAGGACCAGGCCAATGGACTCTGTCAAACTTCTCGTCATCCACCACGATTACCTGCTCCCATCCGACTCGTGGCTGGCAGCTCTGAGAGAACTGAAGCCATGGAGCCTCTCAAAAAGGAGGACTAGCTATCTATTGCTACTGCTCGCAAACCACAAAAATACATCGATGACTAACTAGCTAGCTGGCAAGCCAGGAGAAATGTTGGTTGAGAAGAGGTTCAATGACCCTGGTGCCGGCGCCTGATACTAGATGCTTCAGGGAGGCTCTGAACAATGGTGGAAAACCAGTCATCGATCGAGTGTCAGTAGCTAGCGACGACGTGCAAACAACCATGCTTCCGATTTCCTTGTGCAAGCTTGCATCCTTGAGCATGCGATATTCTTGTCTCCAAACGTAACACTACTGTCATCACTGTCCCTTTGAACCACCACGTTTCCCTTTCGCTGCGGATTGTAAAAAGTAGTAGACTGTCGCTGCTGCTAAGATTCGCAGAGGCAGTGCAATTCAATTGACTTCTTTAAATTACCAAGAGAACCGGTGTGCAGCTTGCGCCATCCAGCGACGGACCACTTCCAAGCATCCTTGCGAGTAGGGACATGCGTCGCAGGAGCTATCTGTCAACTGTTCTGTGATCCAACCATTGAAGTTGGCAACTTCCTGCGGACAAAATAAATGAATAAAGCAAAGCAAAGGAAGCCACCATTAGTTAAGATCATGCCAAGAGACTGGTGACAATTGGTACTGATGTATACATTTACGAACCGTATACACATCTGGCACTCCGCCGCTGGCACAATTGGAGGATCCCCCCGAAATCAGTCCCAATTGAGTGGTTTTGTCTGTGGCCATTAGAGGGCCACCAGAGTCACCGAAGCAGGCCTTTGGGTAACAGAGGAAGGAAAGATGAGCACGGATAAGAGGGAGTATACATTGAGAACCACAATGACTGGTACAGCTACGATACATGGTAGCCTTACTTACTCCTGTAGTAGCAGTGTTCTGAGCGCAAATATTCGAACTGGCGGAAACGCGGCTCCCCCAAGCTGTAGCACAATCAGTATCTGAGATGGCACTATACGTGAGCTTTTGTAGTGTATCGGAGCCCGTTCCCGTCGAGGATCCTGCAGTGGTCTACGGTTTTTAAATAAAAATTCAGCGGGAATCGAATCAAATCAATGGAGAGGTGAGATTGTGACAAACAAAAGGCAGTTTTAGTTGGTTTGATCTGAACCATCCAATACAAAAAAAGACCGAGATCCCTCGTTTTTTTTGCTGCCTCGTTCGTTGGTAGCGTACCTGTCCAAAGCCAACGAGTAGCACATCTGCTCCTCCAGCAGGAGTGGCCGTGTTGGTGTTGAGGGTGGCAAAGGGGCTGACAGTGGTTGATCCGAAAAGCTTTAGTACTGCAACGTCATTGATGAATGGTGTTTCCGAGTTCCAGTCAGGGTGAGTTTTGGAACATGACACGCCAACCTCGACGCCATTGCTGGTAGTAGAAGCTCCAACTCGGACGGATCTGGGAGCTCCAGAAGCGACGCAATGGGCAGCCGTAAGCACTCTGTTGTCGGAGATCTACCGTGCGCATGTAGAGCAGAAAACATCATAAGTAATCCGCTGTGCCATTGTGCCAATTGTTGTTGCCACTGCCTTGTTCTTTTTGTTTTGGATACACTACTACTCACCATTGTTCCACCACAATTGGTATCCCCAAAGAGGGCAAAGAAAGGAAACTCTCCATCCGATGCGGTGGTGCCTCCTACCACAGTGTTGGATTCTTGCTCTAAATCCACAGTGCCATCTTCCTCTTGATTTCTTCGCGTGGCCGTCCTGAGATGATGTAATGACGACTCCTTTTCTTCTTGAGATACCACTAGGGAAGACGACGATGACACTACCAGCAGACCAATTCGAACCAGTTGACTGCTCCTCATGTTTCTTCTTTTTGTTGGTTTTGTTGTTTTGTTAGAGTAGATTTTCCTAGACGATAGAATCGAATCGAATGGAAGTCTTCAAAGCAATCTGTTGAATTCGTTTGAATGGATCGTCCGTCGATCCCATCAACATTGAGATAAGGGCGCCGAGTGCCATTAGATAAGACCGGCGGTCCTGTCGGGACGTTCAACTGTTGAGGTGCGCAAGAAAAACAAATGAGTTGCCAGGTAGGAAGAGAAAGAAGGATGAATGATCCATCTACTCTCGCACGCATACCTGTCCCACTTATGCGTATGAGACTCGACTCGACTCGACACTCATCTTTTCTATCAAAGATCATGCTCGGCTCGCTCGGATTGGATTGAAATCCTTGCTTCAAAAGACTGGACTCGGGACTGCATTTTTCGATTCGACAAAAAAGTGAGAGCCTCGACGACATTTCCATGTGATGTGGGGAGTCATTCCTTCATCTATCTGCATGCGAATCTGCATTTGATCGGCAGCATCAGGACCTTTGTGTCGTACTGTATTGTCGCTATTGTATGTTCATGTTCTATGGCTCTCTACTATCATACTACTATCGAACTAACTAAGAAAGAATGAGCGTCCACACTACTTCTACGAGACAACGTGGAGGAGGAGCGTGGGAACGTCGACGAAAGCAACCAACGGCAGGTAGTGATGGACGTGAGAGTGCTGAAGAGAGAGATGATCCCAATGACAAGGAAAAGAAACAAAATCAAGTGTGGCTGTTGGTCGCCTGTGTGTTTGCCTCCTATTTCTTTTTCCGATTGTTCTTCAAATGGGGCACCAAGACTCTGGAAAAGAATATTGAAAAGTACGTGGAAAAGTCACAAAGGCACATTTACAAGGCGGACCACAACAACAATTACATGCCCAGGGCATTGGCCGAAGGATATTTTCGAAAACCAAGTGCGGACCGAAAGCAGAATACTAATAAGCAGAACAAGAGAGCCAGTGATGATAATCCCGTGGAAATGATGAGACAACAACGGCACTTGCACTCATCACGACAGCAAACAAAGCAGAGTGACACGGTATCATCTTTGCTGGCAAATTTTCAACAGAAACTCGTCCACAAAAAGAATCCATCGGCGGATGTAGTGGCACAACAACAACAACAAAAACAAAAACAATCATCACCCCTTCGAGAGCTTCCAGCACGTGTCTGTGTGTCCAAAAAAGACTCCCTCACCGACTTTTCTTCCAAGACCCCCAGAAAGTGCCACGTCGATTTGTGCCCTCCTCAGCTGTCCTTGCCACCTCCAGAGTCCCAAGAATCCCACAACAACCACAACATTATTGTCAGTTCTCCCAATCACTACGGACACGGCTTTGTCCATCGTCCCGATATCATTCGCAACAGTCATACATCCATGATGTTACCCGGTCAAGCCGGATCGGGCAGTGGCTGTGCCATTTCACACAAATACCAATTCATTTACATTCACGTTCTCAAAAGTGGCGGCATGACCTTGAAAACATTTCTCAAACAAGGACTCTGTCAAGGATCCACCAAGATGCCGTGTGCCTTGGGGCAAGACCATTTGCAAATTGTCGGCTGTCATTCGGCTGTGGTGCAATATCCGCACTATTTTGTCTGGAGTTTTGTCCGCAATCCGTTTGGACGCATGTACAGTATCTACGCCATGGCATTGGACTATCGGCAACGCAAAAAGAAAGATACCACGGTAATGTTGCCGCCATTTTCCTTTGACGAGTTTGTGCATGCCAAAGGAGCAAGTCACTCCTTGAAGAACAAGAAACGACGCCAACATTACAAACGCCGCAGATTGCTCGGTGGTGGTGGTGGTGGACGATTTGCCAATAGACACGGCAACAAACGGGAGTTTGCAGAAGCCATGTGGTCGAAAATGGCTCCATCATCCTCGAGCTCCAAATGCACGGCGCGTCGATCCATGACCTACATGGATGCCGTGCATTGTCAACCACAATATTACTTTTTATTCAATGAACAGGATTGTCCCGTTTTTGATTATCTGGGACACCTCGAGACATTTGCCACTGACTTGAAAACGGTCGTCGACATGATTGACAGTCCCGAACTCACGCAACACTACCAGCAATGGACTCTCAATAGTACTGCCATTAATAATAGTGGGTTGCACAAGGAAAAGAGCACGTCCTTTGGAAGCAAACAAAAAGAGGCGCAACATGGGGGGAGCCTGCGGTTGGCGTACGAATCAGCATCGGGAGAAGGAGACTTGCAACAGGTTGTTGCCAAGGAATATGCCAAGGATTTTGAACTCTTGGGGTACGATCCCACTGTGATTCCCGAGTAGAGCCATGACGGCTATGATATGGGGTGCATGATCATCTATCTGCGACAACGTGACAAACAAAATTCATCGCTTGGGTTTTCAGTTGCACGCAACAGTCAGTCAGTCAGTCCGATCGAATTTGTTTGATTGTTATCCAATGGTCTCAGGTCTCATGACGACGTTCGGAGCACGACGTTGTGTTTTGGCGTCAAGGCATTGTTTGGATTGGTACGGTTGTACAGTATTGCAACGGTCGTTCCGTTTGTTATTCAATTAAAAAGTTTTCAATGATGGCCAACCACTGGTCATCTAGTACCACCGTACTTCGAACCAGTTCCTGTTACGTTATCCGAATCCTGTATCAGTAGTACGGCAACGACACCAATGCATCAGTACATGTAAATAAACAATTGTCAACCACATTATTACTAATATCTATTGTAAGTCGATCCGTTCGAACTATACTACCAGCACTAGCCCGCCATTTTGTTTGACTATTGAACATTGATTATTGGTTCCAGATACTGTAAAAAATCAAATGGAGGCAGCCAAGAAAAACCAAGTGCAAGACCATAGTCCCAAGGAGATCATCTATCTATCTATGATTTCTTAGTACCTCCTCGAATCTTCCTGCCATCCCATTATTGCTGATTGTAGCTAGTTACTAGCTAGTAGACTTCTACAGTAGATTGGTTCGTTGCTTCGTTCGTTTCGTTTCGTCTCGTCATCTATCTATCTTTGTATACCGTAGTATATATATTTATCCCGAAATGGAGAATTGTAGGAATTCGGATCCTGGTTTTCTTGGATAGGGATCTAGATCGAGCCAGAACAGTTGTGCGGTGAGTTCTCCAATATCGAGCATTCCATTGGTGGCATAAATGGCATCGTCTTCCATGAGAATATCGTCTAGCGTGGCATCGTCACCACCATCCAAATTGCTCATGATGGATTGCATTTTCAAGAGTTCCGTAGGATCAATCAAGTCCTCTTCTTCTTCCTCTTCTTGGTCCAGAGCCTCCAGAAAATCTTCGTCACTTGTTTTCTTTCTCTTGCTGCTGTTTTTATTATTACGACGCTGTTGCGATGACGATTCGCGTTGCAGTTTGACTTGGTTGTGTTCCGCAAACGCGGCGGCTGGTCCCATCATACTGTTGCTGCCCTCGACGGGCCGAACGAGACAATGAATGGGAAATTCGAGATTGGTGTCAAATGGTTCATTGGTACGAACACAAATGCGCGTCACAGACGCATATCCCATTCCGCCCACCAGCATGCCCTTGCTGCCACCACCCACCGCGTTGTTGTTGTTGCCTGCTTCGGGTGACAATGACAAGTGCGCGCCCAAACTGGCAATTTTTGGTAGTTCGAATCGTTGGGCGAGTGCTTCGCATTCTTCCATCGACGCATGAATATCCACGCCATACTGCGGTTGTTCTTCGCGATGCTGATTCTTGCCACCCAGTTTCAGCACCTTGTCGGGAGGGACCGTCCGGCAAAATTCATTGCGAGGGCGTTGCGAATCCGCATCGGCAGCAGCAAATAACAGATGGAACGATCTTGCATTATTATTATTTTGGGTAGCAGTAGATAGTACTGTAAAGCTGGACACTGCTTGTATCAGACACACAAAAAACACAATCGATCTCATCTTGCTTGCTTGCTTACTTGATTCTTCTTTATATTGTTGTATCGTAGAACAAGGAGCTAGTCTATCCTACCGGCACACCTTGTAGCTAGTGTGCCATGAACTGAGCTCTTGTTGTTTTTCTTTCCGCGCTTGGGTCGTTGCGTTTTGCTTTGGGTGGTGGCAGCAGCGGGCGGTGTCAAGAAGATCCAAAGCAAGTGCGTCAGTAAACAATTTAGAGGTGGGGATACGAGTGGATATGTATCTTTTCAGTCCCATATCCGTGAAACAAGAGGGCGGGCCTCTTTAAATCATGAATCTTTAAAAAAAGAAAAAACGAAGAGTTCCAGGCAACGGGAGGAGTTAAAATGCTCTAGACTATTGTACACTACTTTTCTAGAGTAGACTATTCTACAGTACATAGTCACGATTTCTAAATCCTATTTTCTAAGGGGAATAAATCTTGATTTCTACATTTCTACCTGAGTCCTGAGTAACGATTGACTTTCTTTTCGAACTAACTGGTACCAGGTACAGTACCGCACACGCTTACCGGTAGGGTGATTTGTCCCTCACAAATTTTGGCTACTACATGTACTAGTGCTGGTACGAGTTCAGTAATGGTACCGTACGACGGATGGCGCCAAATTCGAAGTCCACTCAGTAAAAGGCATCCGAAGGTCCGGAGCTGTCAAGGAACGAGCGAGGATACATATCCGATGCAGACCAGTATCATGTACCGATATGCAATACAGTCACAGTCGTACCTTTACCGGTAGAGTTTGGAGGGTTGCCTCTATCCAGGAAATCGCTCCACATGGCACTCTCAGTAACCTGGGATGGTCGCTCTGTAGGTCTGATACAACTGTTTAGCAAGAAGCGAGAGAGCCTTGACCATCATCTCACAATGTAGTATCCGCCCCCCTATGTAGTTTCTGCTCCTCAAGTATCTCCTAGCTAGCTGGTCTACTAGCAGTCCCATTCCGTATCGCGGCTTTCTTTGAAAATCCATGAATTCATTGTGGATGCAACTTTCAATCTACATGTACTAGCTAGTATTAGCTAGTCTCACTGATAGTGCATCACAAGCATAGCTCAAGTGTGCACTATCGAGGTCTTGGGGTCCAGGTTGTAACAATGAAGCAACGAACGATAGCATGATCAATGATGAAGGGTGCAGGCAAGCAGGCATAAAGGCATAAACACTCCAGTAGAACATTCGTTAGATCCTATCGTCTCAATTTTGGTTCCCGAGTGTGGCAATAGTCTTTGTCCTTTCTTCGGAATTAACAAGACGCGACTAGGTGCGCCGTAAAACCCCCACACGAAGCTCTTTGGCTGCATGCATTGGGGCCTCATCGGCTCATCGGTGGTCCAGTACATGTACCAGTGGGTGTTCCGTCTCTGCTCTCTACTAATAAGCTCACCACTTTCGCACTTTCGCACAAACTGAAACTGCCAACCAAGCCAAACACAAAAAACCCACAAAAGGTCGCCCAAAACGCAAGCAGAAGACACTTCTATCTACCCAAATACTCACCATGATGGCTTCGAAATCCTCCTTGATGATGGCTCTTTGGGCCACGTTGGCTTGTTCCTTGCTGTTGGAGGTTGCCTTGACGAGCAACAGGCCAAGATATGGCTATTCGTTCCTCGAGAGCATTCGACCCGTTGGACACAATCGAGCCGCATGGACGTTGGAAGGCCAAGGTGGGGATTCTTGGTGAACAACCAAGCAAAATTGAATTGGGAAAGCAAAATGCGTTTTGGATTTCACGTGCCCAATGAAGAAATCTTGTATCATCCATCATCATATCATCTTGTGGGAAGCAAAAGGCTCATCCTTTTGGAGTGGACTTTCTCCCGCTGTACCTGCCTACTTTTTACGTTCGTTCCAGTCGAAGAATCTTGCAATTTGCAAACCTTGTGGGGAAAGGAAACTACAGTGTACTTTCTCCCGCTGTTCCAATTCTTCATGACAAGAGAGCTCGCCAGCTAGCTGCACAACAGCACTGGAAGCCTGTCTTCTCTATCTTACAATCATGTATTCATTCTAGAGATAATGCTGAATACATACATACTAATGAATGAATAAACCATTGTTCACAAAGCTACACTGAATCTGCACAATCTCATTCATGTTACTTCGAGACATGATAAGTTGTCGATTGATTATAGATTATACCCATTCTCCAGCATCAGTCGCTGTGCTTTCTGCTGGCAGATGGTGCCGTTGACCTTGTTGAGGAGCGAGCTGCCTCCCCATAATGTTCACGCGGTCTGTTGGCAAGCTAGCTAGCTAGAGTCTACGAGTTTCCGTAAAGTTGCCATTTTAGGATCTGAGAAGACGGGTTGTATGCACACATGTAGAGGATTTGTGAGTACTCTAACCCTAAGGATGTTCAACAAACAAAGCAACACAGGTGCTCCGTGCACGCGTGTGGCAAGTTACAAGGATCTGCTTGGGTTTGATGGTTGCTGTTGCAATAGCTATTGCAATTGAGCTGCTCTAACCCGGATCGTTGAGTGAGTTCCTATAGTTTAGAGCTATTATAGGAGAAACGATTAGACTATAGTCACTCGGAGTGGTACCATAGCTATCACTTCCGTAGCTTCAACAGCCGAAGCCATGTCTCTACCAGTCAATCGCAGCAGCACCCCTACCAGTAGTCAGGATGTCTTGTTGCTGGAGCGAAAAGATATCTGGATTGGACAAATTCTTCCCTTGATCGGAATGGGACATTTTGCCTTTGTAGGAGCTGTAAACAAAAGATTCAACAAACTATACAAAGAGTACTGTGCAAAAGAACAAAATCCTCCAAACTTGAAAGGCGACTGGAATTCAGAAATTTTCAAGCATGACAAAATCCCCGCCAGTACCACCGACACACTCTACAGTGCTGCATTCTACAATATCGACTGTGCAGAATACTGGCTCAGCGACAAATCAGAAGGGAAAGAACCACACCAGGATTGGGTTTGCGATGTCATGCAAGTCTTCCTGCTGAAAATCTCGACTTTTGAAGTGGGCCCATGTCGACCACAACTTTCCCTGGGACGAAGATACCTGCGCGAATGCGGCAGACGCAGGTCATTTGGACATGCTCCAATGGGCGCGGGAGAATGGATGCCCCTGGGATAGCAAAACATGCAGGGGTGCTGCTAGAGGAGGCCACTTGAACATTCTCCAATGGGCTCAAGCCAATGGCTGTCCATGGAATGAAAAGACATGTGCTTGGGCTGCCTATAAGGGTCAACTGGAATGCCTCCAATGGCTCCACGAGAATGGGTGCCCGTGGGATGCAGAGACATGCTACTTAGCAGCCGCTGGTGGGCAACTCCAATGTCTACAGTGGGCTCGTGAGAATGGTTGCCCCTGGAACGAAAAAACCTGTACCTATTCAGCTGGGTTTGGGCATTTGGAGATTCTCCAATGGGCTCGTGACAATGGATGTCCATGGAACAGCTGGACCTGCTCAGGTGCAGCAAGAAATGGCCATATTGACATTCTCAAGTGGGCACGTGATAATCAATGCCCTTGGGATGAAATGACGTGTGCTTGTGCCGCTGAATACAATCATCTCGATGCTTTGAAATGGTTGCTTGAGAATGGGTGTCCTTGGGACGCACAGACATGTTCTTCTGCGGCTGGGAAGGGGCAACTTGAAATGGTACAATGGGCTAGAGACAATGGATGTCCCTGGGATGCAGACACATGCTCCTTTGCAGCCCGTGAAGGCCACATTGCAATTCTGCAATGGGCCCGCGAGAATGGCTGTCCATGGGATGAATGGACCTGTTCTTTGGCTGCCGAAAGAGGTCATTTTGATATTCTCAAATGGGCCCGGGAAAATCAATGTCCTTGGAATGAAATGACGTGTGCTAATGCAGCTGAAGGTGGCCATTTGGAAATTCTCAAATGGGCCCGGGAAAATCAATGCCCGTGGAATGCGATCACTTGTTCTTGGGCAGCTGAAGGTGGCCATTTGGAAGTTCTCCAATGGGCGAGGGAGAATGGTTGTGAATGGAATGTAACAACCTGTTCTGGTGCTGCTGGTGAGGGTCATTTGGAGATTCTCAAATGGGCCAGAGAAAATGGCTGCCCCTGGGACAGTCGCACATGTTTGGTTGCTGCAGAAAATGATCATTTGGAAGTGCTGGAATGGGCCAAGGCGAATGGATGCCCAGAAGGGGAGGATGCCGATGGTGACGACTAAACCTGAGCTGTTCTGAGTGTCTAGCTAGCTGTAGGTACTAAAGAGTAGCCGGAGTGATCATCTGATCTGAGTTGCTACAACAGCATCGACTGCATGGGCTTACTAATAATTGGTCACTACTAACCCCACGTTGAGCATGTATTCTATTAATATTATGTTAAAAACAACACGTCATTAAAATGATACAACTGGAGGGGCAATGTCTTTCATGCCCGGGACGATACGATATCGCAAGGTGTCCACTTTTGTCGGGCACGCTGCTATAGTTAGTTGTCACTTGATCTAAACAGATTTTTTCCTTTCTGTCACGACGACGACTGTTCGTTCTACGCCACGGGCGTCCTGTGGCACGTTGTGGCAGTTGTCAGATAAATGAAAATCATTTTCTTTTTTGTCACGTCAACGACGACGACTGTTCGTTCTGAGGCGCCACGGGCGGGAGAGACAATTCCCGTTGCAAGGCGGGCCACGAATGATCGGGATCATCATGATCGTGATCTTCCATGCCATCCAAGGATTGATAACTGGCCCGTTTCCATCCCAGACCGGTGTGTTTTCCAAAACAGAGGTACAATGTGACCGCTCCACCCAGATAGAGAGCCAAAAATAGCAACCCCGACAGTTCCAATTGTGCCACCAAACACCAATTGATAAAAATGCCAGCACATGGCAAGTAGGGGACGAGTGGTGTTTGAAAAAAGCCGTCCTCGTTGGTGGTGGTGTCGTGATGTTGGCGCACAATGGATCCTCCAAAGGATGAACTCTTTGGACACTGCATCGTCAAGGAACCTAGTACTCCCAGTGTCGCTAGCAATGCCACACATGTCAACCAGGGTCCCCACGCCCCATCATGATGTACCAGGAGCAATCCCGTAATGAGCGAGAGCAAATTGTAGAGTACCAAATGGTGTTCGACCAACTGTGGTTTGGTTGCGTGGCATGATGATTCACATCGTAACAAAATCAAACAGGAATTGGTCATGGAAAATGCCAATAAAATACCGACACTAATGCCATCGTCCAAATAGTTGAATGGCACCAACGTGGCGACGACAATCATGACCCCTCCCGCAATAGCTGTTCCCCAGAGTAGATTGCCGCGTTCGTCGACTTGTGCAAAAATGGGTGGCAACAATCCATCTTGTGCCATGGCAAATTGCAAACGGGGTTGTGCCATGAGTGAAATCAAGACGACCACGGGCAATGTCAGGACTTCTCCGGCAGCACATATTTGCGCCGCCCACGTAATACCGCGATCACCGAAAGCGACGGGAAATCCACTCGTTTCACTGATTTGATCGAACGGCATCATACCGGTGAGTGCCACCGATGCCAGCATGTACAAGGAAGTGACAATGAAGAGAGTCCAAAGAACGGCCCGTGGCATGTCTCGATGCGGATGCAAGGCTTCCCCGGCAATGCAACAGACTTCGTCGTATCCCAAATAGCCAAAAAAGGAGGATGTGGCTCCTCTCCAAATCCCCGACCATCCGTAGGGTGCAAAAGAGGATGTCCCATCGAGAGCAGTATCACTAGTAGTGCTATGAACAGTGGTGTTGGATGATTGAAAGAGTGCAAATCCTCCCAGAATCATAAACACCACCAATAGAACTTTGGTCAATGTGAAAAAGTTGGTGACTTGTTTGGATTCGTGAATGCCCGCTAGCAACAAGGCGACGGAACCAGAGGAGACGACTCCCGCCATGAGATTGACCCCGTACGGTTCCAACCATACCGATGCGTCCGTCCAACCCCACTGCTCGCGCAACCACACGACCAATTTGTCGCCCCAACTCCGTGCCACGGCGGCGCCACTGACGCCGTATTCCAATGTCAAACAGGCCGCGGCAATGACAGCTGCCACTTCTCCCAGACAAATGTAACTGTACACATACGTCGATCCTGCCGATGGAATCCGGCCACTCAATTCGGCATAGCAGACGCCACTGCACGCCGCTGCAATGCCGGCAATGGCAAAACTCAACCACGTCGCAGGACCGGCATAATTATGGGCAATATAGCCGCACAATACAAAAATACCCGATCCAATGGTGCCACCCACACCCACCGAGACCAAATCCCAGACGGTCAAGTGGCGTTGGACACTTGTACTTGTGCTGTTTGACGATTGTTGTTCAATTTCGCGTTGGACCACCCACAGAGGCTTTTTCCGTCGCCATGGTGGAATAGGAGTGGCAAAGGGAGCGTGGCGTTGACGAAGGTAGGGACCATCCAACGACGACGACGGCATGGCATGACCTTATTACATGCATGCAAGTGCCAAACAAACACAACACCGATCTTGCTCTATTGCATTGTGGCCGATTGAGAGATGGTCATCGACAAGCCTGCAAAACAGCATTATTATTGCTGTTTTAGACTCAAAACAGTGGAGCTGTTTGGGTGGTGCTTTATTGCTTTAATTAACTTGAGCTCTAAATTTGCTCGACATTTTTTTTATAAAACCAATACAAGTAATAATTTTGCGCGGAACAACAGTACCGGTACCCTGGTACTGTACCGTACTCGAGCAGTTGCCAAAGAGGGAACAGCAATTGCTTCTGTGCTGATGACCCACCGAAGACCGAAGGCAAGTACCGGTACGTAAAATTAATGTTCGGCTACCGCACTACTACTACTAGCTAGCTACTCCAGTAGTAGTAGTAGCTAGCTAGCTTGATCTAAGCTCAGCCACATGTATGCATGTGTGTTTTACATCTCATCTTCATCACAACCCTGCTTGGCCGCCAAAGAAAGCTCCTTTCAAGGCTCTAGAGAGCTACTAGCTAGCTGCTAGCTAGAGTAGGCACAACGAAGATGTTTTACTTGCAAAGAACGAACACTTGTAATATTGTCTGCTTCAATACTATTATCGATTGAGATGGGTGATGAGTGGCAAACGGCAAACACTTTACTTTGCTATTTTTGGTTCCATGCAGGCTGTACAAGGTGGGACTAGTGGTTTGGTGGTGAATACTCTCGCAACTCTGGTTAGTAGACCAGATCTATCGAAGCGGACTGGAACAACTGAACTTGCACATCTGCGGACCACGCATCATTGTATTCTCATCAGTTCCTCCTTTAGTTAGTGTATGTGATCCCGCCGGTGCACTTCACGTGCCTGTGGAGGTAACGGATTAAAGGTGAATGGAAACGGTGCACATGGCATCTAGGATGAGGCTATTCTTCGCTGCCAAGGTAGTCTAAGTAAGTCTTTTCGTGCAATATCGTAGACTTCACTGCCTCCTACCGGTACAACAGCAAGCCACCAAAAGGATTTTGAATTTTAAAATTGCCTGCGCACTGTTGTTGTTGGGGTGGGTGGCAATTGTAGCGTTTCTGGACAGCTTCTTGTGCGATCTCGCTAGATGGCTTGGGATGAAAAAGCCGACCCTTGCTTGAAAAACATAAATCCTTTTCTCTGGCAACTGGCAATTATACAATGAACTCTGGAATGGATGAACTGTTCGATTCAGTGGATAAGCAGAGTAGGTGGTAGGTGCACTAATTGACAAAATGAGAGCTTCAACAGCTAGCATAAATAATGAAGATAAGAATTTGTCCAGAGTAAGATTTCGGAGCCAAGACTCGATGGGTGCAGCACTGGGTGATTCCCGTGCCTTCAAACAGCCCCCACCCTTCACCCCCAAACAGCCATTGAACGGGATCCTCTGGTGGCCACAAAGCTGTGGCAACCAGTACATGTACAGTTGAGCCATACGGTATTCCTGGGTACCATCTTATCCATTTTTCCATTTCGCTCCTTTAGACTACTGAAGCCACATAGACTAATCAGCAAAGCACCATTAACACCTACACTGTTTTGAGTAAAAGAGGATCCTCTTTGGACATGGCAATGCATTTTATGATCCACAACAGCGTACGATGTAGTGCAATTAATTGTGAGCCACGGTACAGCTTTGGGTGAGGGTATTGTTTGATACTAGCTAGCTAGCTAGCTGCAACCTCTGAGCGTGTGTGACCCGATTCCCCAAAGAATTCCGGATCAGCCAGTACTCACTGCTGATGAGTAACTCGGTCTCACAAAAGGACCTGTAATCATTGCAAATAATTGATGATGGTCAGGGTAGGTGGCTACTGGCTGTAGTAGAAGTAGTTACATGTACGGTACCAGGTACTTGATGATGGTCAGGGTAGGTGACTACTAGCTAGCTATAAAAATAACAAGGAACAAACAGTGAGTGTCCGTGCCCCAGAATGTGTGGCCTGTGCCATGCAGGCAGCGATTCGATTCCCGTCATCCATTGACTCACTCCGGTGTGCTCGGCCTCAGAGATGTTTTGGTCATGTCAGTGGAGGAAACTCTTGTTGCACCCCTTCTTCAGTGGTGGCACGAGAAAACAACGCTGTCAAGCTCGCTATGAACACATTGCTTTACTGTACTTACTTGCTTCTCCTCGCTTTAGTACAGTAATAACACAGTCAAAACAAACCACGTGTCTTTTCTTTCCACCCATATGGTTTAATCACCAGGTCGCATCGGTACCGGTTTTCAGTTGCTGAAATTCATGGTGAGATGGTTGGGGAAGGTTGCCACATGCACACAGCTTTGGCGAAATCCACAAGAAATTTGATGCATTTGCTTTGCCGTCGGTGACTTGAGAAGAGTAGTCTGTTGCTTGCTTTCTCTTCTCAACTACATAATCTGTCCAACACAGAGCATTAGCTAGCTAGCTATACATGTAGTAGTGTAGTAGTGGAAGGAAACAAAAAGATCGATTTGACCATGATGAAGGCTATGCATCGAAGCGGAGGAGACGGCGAGGGCTCTCCCAGCGGGAAATCTGGCAAGGGCCTCTTCAAACGTTGGAAGAGAGGCAGCGGCAAATCTACTAGAGAAGCCAACAGTTCAGGTAGGTTAAAATTTGGTGACGTGAGGTTCAGCTATGGGGTATCTGAGGCTAAGGGTAGCACTGGAATCAGAGCCATTCAGCATGGGCATGGGTATCTGAGCCATTAAGCATGGGTAGCACGAGGGTGGAATGATAGGCCATTATCACAGATACCTCGCCGTCGAATTACATGGGTACCTCGCCGTCTGAAACTGATGTCCTCATATCTGTATTGCCACTTTCGTTGTTGTAGAAGCTGGCAATGAGGACTCTGAAGCAAACAACGACCGCTCAGGTAAGGCGAATCCGCTGTTTTCGAGCCTCGCCGTCCTTTCTTTTATCATCTGAGCTGACACCAAGATTCTTCTCATTTCAAAGAATTTCTAGCCGACTCGGTCACCTCTGATCCCTTGATGGATGAGTCTTCTTCCAGTCTCCCTGACGGCCAGAACTGGATGCGTTCCACCAGTCTTCAGTTGAGTGTGGCGGATAGCCAGCAGGGCTTGGATAGTTCCACCCAAGACATGTACCAAAGTCAACCAGCTCTAGAAACTTTCCCTGAAGATCTGGAAACTCCAGTTCCCGACCCCAAAAAGACCATACAAGATCTTGCATCTTGTAGCAGCGAGGAGGTTAGCCCCGTCTGCGTGGATCAGTTTCCAGTTGTGCACATCCGGCCGGATAGTAGCGGTGATGGTACTAGTAGCGACGACGAGGAAGAGGAGTCGGGCCGCAGAGCTTCTGTCAGCACCTATTTCGATGCCAGTGTCAACGTCATGCCTCTTCCGTTCACGGGTGGTCTAGATGAGATCGGTGATGCCCCCGAGAATACTCGTTTCTTGAATCTCTATAGAGATGAAACTCCTCCAGAACATGGAGTGCAAACAGGACAGCAACAAGCTGCACATCGCAGGCCTACGGCATTTGAACGTGCTCAATCCAGAAGTCAAGTAGCAGCAAAACAACCAGCTGCGCCAGCCAAAGGCCAACTCATCACGGCCGAAGTGACGGTGGTCAAGGAGAAGAAGACCGACGCCCAGCAAGATCCCCAAGAAAGTCCAATCGTTACGACGACAAAGCCTAGGGTCTATGACAAGAAAAGCAAGCATTACAATCGCTATGGCATTGCCGGTCTTTTGGACAAGCACAAAGTCAGGCACACCCGACGGGCCAGTGAAACGGCCGCTGCCAAGGCCAAGGCTACTAGTAGCCCCGAGAAGCAACGCCGCAACACGCTGGCAGTGGCAGTCCAGCAAGGAATCATCAATCAAATCACCGGAGTGGGTCGCGTCGCAAAGAAGGACAAACACAATCAGAGTTCTTCTTCTTCCCCAGAGACTAGTAGCAAAGCTGACAGTTCTTCTTCTTCGGAGCACCCTAGCAGCAGCTCCAGTGACGGGGATTTCAAAGCAACCGCCGCCACCAACACCGATGCTGTTTGTAAAGAAGACGCCCAAGAACAAGGCAGATCAGCCTCCACTCGTAACATTGCCATGGACAATACAGTTGACAACGATGCCATGCCAACCAGGCCAGCACGACGAACTCAGTCCGAATCATCTGAAGAAACCGTCCAGACGTGTCCGAGCAGAACTTCGACACAGTATTCGTACATAAAAGGGTTGCCCTTTACAAAGGATCCGGCGACAAGTAGTCAACAGCAACAGCCCTACTCCAGGGAGCCTGAACATGGCCACCAAGGTCATTTGGAAGCATGGAATCCTGCCTACTCCAGGGAGCCTGAACATGGCCACCAAGGACATTTGGAAGCATGGAATCCTGCTAACAACAGCCATCAGGGTTATCCCAGAGGAGATCCTAGAAGAGATCCCAAACAAAGAGTCATGCCGACTCCAAGCACAGTGTCCATGGCGTCGGAAGAAACAGAAATCACTGCGCCAGGCCGCATTTACGCCTTTCGGCTGCACGAGGAAGCAATCAAAAGTCGAATGACTGTTTCCCCTCCTCAATCTGACTTTAGTGGCGCTGTGTCCACCTTGGACAACAACAGCAGTCCGATATTGCAGGGCGTTTCCTATGGCATTCCAGCCGACAACAACCCTCTGAACCACCAGGGACCTGTGGTACCACCCGTCGCAACATGTCGACTACCGGATTCCATGCCACCGCGGCGACATCGGTCGCACAGGGCAGCAACCAAGGCACCACAGCAGCAGCCACCTGGCCCCGATGAGACGATATTCATCCATGTCAAGCCCAACCTGAGAGTTCCGCTGCGACGTGTCCCCGACGTCTTGCAGGCGCTCGCCCAGCACTACTACGATACTCCCAACTGTCCTTGCTGCAACAAACAAGTGGCAGTGGTGGCCGATGCAGCCTTTTTGCATTGTCCCATTTGCAACGAGATAAGCCCCTTGTTTGGCAATATTTGGCCAGTGGGCAACTTTCCCGAAGAACCCGAGTACCATCGACTCGGACTGGGCCTTGGCATGACGTGGGAAACCATGAAGAAAGTCTATCAAGAAATGTTCCCCGAGGAATACAATGCCGCTGATGCTGCTGTCGCAGAAAAGGGCGAGGCTGCTCCCACGACAACTACTACTCCCGTTGTTGACAGTTCTAGCTAATAATGCAACCTATGTCATGAAAGAAAGTGTACCGTACAGTGTAGATTCAGTACCGGTAGTAGTTTACTGTACCGTTCGTATGGAAGGGCGACGAAGCGGGTTCATCCACGTGTCGTAAGTTCGAAATTTGGGAGCATCCTCGGGAAACGCTGTGATTGTATCAAATAAATGTGCTTGCAGTGGTATCACAATATGTTGCTTGGTAATGGAGGTACTCCTGCAGTCAAATTCCTGACTAGATCGTTATCAAATAAATGATAGAGTGTGTGCATCCCTTCCTACTGTACAATAGTAGCCACTGCGCAAGACTTCCTCCTTGGATGGTTTCCCCAGCACAAAATAGCTAGCTCTCATCCATTGGTTGCTGTTGCTGCTGCCTTGGTTGTTGAATGCGCCTCCATTTGCGCGAAGTACGACCAATCTCTGCTTTAAATTTATTGGTGTTTGTGAGAGTTTCGACGGCCTTGCATCCCCACGTCGAATGACTGTAAGCCGTCACTTGGACTCGTCCTCCTCCAGTGCTGTTGTTGTCGTCGACTGATATATCGAGTAGGAAATGTCCCTCGGCGGGTCGCGTATCGAGAAACCGAATCCTGTCCTTTTGGAGGACCTGCCACACTGCGGGGGGGAGCTTCTTGTCATCCCACTCGACTGGGGTGGGTGTCTCTTCTCGTACCGAGACAACGACACCGTGTGGTGATTGTTGTGTAGTAGCAATGGCCAAGGAATAGTTTCGTTGTTCTCGAAAATACGTGGCAATGCGTTGGGCAACAATGGCGGGTACACTACTATTGTTGTCACTATTATAATCGCCATCCTGAGGCGACAGGGTCACGGCAAACGATGGTCTCGTGCTTTTCGCCAGAGGCGATCGGATGGTGGGTCGTTGGAGCGTCCATGCCAGGAACCATCGTGTCAAATTTCCCGGTCCAAATTGTGTGGATGGAATGGAACCGGGCCCCAACAAATAGTCCAACAAATGGTGGAGTTGTTGAAACGATGTTTTCTTGCCCAGCATGCAAGCGTACCAGGTGGATTGGAATGCCTCATGGTTGTAGCGTAGTAAGAAGGCATCCGCGAGCATATCCGTGACAAAGGCGACTTCTCCTCCCGGATAGCTGGCTTCGGTGCACGTCAAGTTGGTTTTGGGGCGATGGTCTCCTTGTCGCGTGGGTTGTGTCACTTGGGCAGCAGAGGGGTCGTGAAAGGGTGGATTGGTCAGGACCACGTCTACTTTTTGATTGGATACTGGTTGTGTCGCTGCTTGGAGTAGTTGGAGTAATGGACCTGCATGTTGTTCTTGTTGTTGTTGTTGCTGTTGTGCAGTGGTTGGTTGTACTTGAATGACTTTGATTTTGGATTCCAAGTGATTCGCGACAACGTTCTTTTGTGCCATGGCGACAGAAGTAGGATCAATTTCCGAGGCAAACCAAGTCCACTGCGTCTTAGATGATGATGTAGTAGTGTCATTGTCATCATTGTCACTTTCAAGTATCTGATTGTGAGGTGCACAAAAGAGGAGTGGATAGATACACGTGGCGCCCGTGCCAATGTCGATTCCACAGCGACGGTCGGCAGATTCGGATGATGGCAGTGTTGATAGTAGTGTCTGCTGAATCCACTGCACCAAAAAGTATCGATTGGGCACGGGAGGACACAAGGACGGAATATGTGGCAATGACAGTCCAAAAAAGGAATGCAGTAGCGCTCGCGTCGTGGCTCGCGAGAATTCGTCCGTGACATTGGACGCAAAGGATCCACCGTCTTGTCGTTGTCGTTCGCGAACTCCTTGCCACGCCACACCAAACGAATGAGGAAATTGACGAGACAACTCTTCGAAATTCGGATGCGTCAAATCGGAAAATGTCAAGTGAGTCAAACGGCGTTTTCTTTTACTGCTAGTAGAGGAGCTCATCTTGTCTGTCTATCAAATAGTATAGTGAGTGATGGAATGAGATGATTGATGATTGGGGAGAGGTACGTACCGGTAGGTGAAGGGACGTGCTTGTTGCTTAGCGTGACTGTGCTTGAAACCCAGTAGAGCTGTAATAAATCTTGTTTCCTTGACGGTTATTGTCACTTCGGACGGAAATGCCAGTACCAGGCTTGTATTCAAATTCATATGCCCACTACTGGGTCGTCTCCGTTTCCAGAAATAAGGTTGAGGATTACCGGTACAAGAAATGAAACAGTATTCGCGCGCTCCGCGCGCTCATCCCTTTCTTTTTGCTTCGCCCTGAAACCGATTCATGCGAAACTTGTGTGAAAAGCGAGGCGACTTTCATGTGCATGTACATGCGTTGACTGTATCCCGTCAATACAATACTAGTCAAATACGTAGACTTCTACAGAGGCCTCTAAGTATTGCACGCCGGGTATAATTCAAACCTCCGCCCCCAACTGTACCCTTACCCCTAAAGCAAGTCGTCTCCGGGAGACGAAATTGTTACCAGAGAAACATTTGGATACTGACATGACAGGAGGGAACGCGAGCATCCAATCATTTATTTCCATCGACGCTAATGCCCTCCGATGAAGCATTCCAGCCAGTTCGGATGTCTTCCCCCGCAGAACAGCAAAAGGAGTCAGGTCAAAAAGAAAAAAGAAAAACCAGAAAACAAAGCAGTGAGCTAGCGTAATTCCTGGAAAGACCAAATGCCAAACTAGTACCCTTGGTTAGCAAGCACTACATACACCATGCTCCATTTCCGCTATTCTTCAAACAGGCAAACATGAGGTACCGGTACAAATGCAGCGCAGCTACCAAGAGTGCCGTACCGGGGCCGGTACTCTCCGATACCAGTACTGCCTGAAACTACTCTGCCCCTTTCCCTTTCCACTTTCCACGGTTTCCACGGTTCTTGTGCTCGTATCGTGGGAAGAAGTTTTGGCGAAGTTGAGTCACGGATTCAACCGATCTCGGCGATCTCATCCAAGAACCGGGAGATCCAGAAAGATCCAACCAAAAGCTACCCAAGCTCACCGAGATCCACGAGATCCAAGCTCGCCCATTTCAGCCTCATGTTGTTGCAAGGGAGTTAATAGAGTACTGCTAAAGGGAAGCTATCTACGGAAGCCGGCGAGGGGCGGCTTAGCCAAGGAAGTGGCGGAATTCGTTATGGTAAGGGGGGTCTACTAGCTAGAGTAGAGAAATTATCTATTGAAGGCGCAGCACTGACGTTACTGTAACCAGGCGAGAAATCCTAGCTCAAGAATGTTGGAGGAGGAGGAGTCCTTTATCTAACACGGCACGTGGTAAGCATACTGCAATGTATCACGCCTATTGTTGAAGGTGCATGACTGAAAGCCATCCCTCATTTTCTATAGACTGTGGGAAGGCAGTCAGCCTTCAGAACCAAGTTGGAGGAATATCGGCCGATTGATCCATACCATACCGTACCGTACCAGCACCGGCACGGTAGGCGTACCGTATCCTCGCACCTCTACCGGTACATGTACCGGCATCTCCGGCGCAGAAGTGAAAGCCATCCTCATTGAAATCATAGTACCAGCTTGGGAAACTTTTCTTTTCTCAGCCCCAAGAAAGTCAAGTCAAGTCAAGTCAAGTCAAGTCAAGTCAAGTCAAGTCAAGCAGTCAAGTTGGTGCATTTTGAAGAAGAACAAGGGTAAGGCAACGGTTTTCTTCAGTTCATTCAGCACAGAAAACAAAGCTCATATCTATACGTATGTTGTTGTTTTCTCTGCTGCACCGTCGTACTGCTGTCGAGTAGATTGATCGCTCGGGATCTCGGGTCTTGGATCTCGCGGATCTTGGGTATCCCCAGAGACCCAATCCAAGCTCCCCTGGACCGTCCAACGGTTTTTGCTCAGGTTTAAAAACTGCTCAAATCGTGGTTCTGGTTAAGGGAATGTTAAGGGAATGTTGAAGCTTTAAGGGAATGTTAAGGGAATGTTGAGGATTTAAGGGAATGTTTTAAGGGAATGTTTATTAAAGGGAATGTTCATTTTTTTTAAGGGAATGTTCTATGGGGTTTACATGAAGGCTTAGAGGAATGTTTCGAAGCGTTAAGGGAATGTTGTTAAGGGAATGTTGATTTAAGGGAATGTTAAGGGAATGTTAAGGATTTAAGGGAATGTTTTAAGGGAATGTTTAAGGGAATGTTTCAACTGCAAAATTTTGAGTTTTTTTAAAACCTGAGCGAAAACCGTCGGACGGTCCTGAGCTGAATCCAAGAAATCGGGACTGATCAGCGATCCCCACACCGGTTATGTTTGCCATGCGGTCTTGGTACGCTGTATGCATACAGGTACCGGTACCGGTACAGCCGCTTGTTGCTGTGCCCAGTTTTTTATCTCTATCTGCGGATGACCGTATTTTAGTTAGAGACGACGACGGAAGAAATGGGGGCAACAACACTCAAATCTCTTCTCATTCACCTTCTCACCTCATTCACCTTCCCACTTACGTCCACACCAAGATACCGTTGACCCACCATGCCACCACTGCCTCCGTTGTTACTACATTTACTGCTGGTGCTGTTGTCGCCACAGTTGCTGTTGGCACAACGATTGAATTACTGTTTCGACGATGAGGAGTCTCCCGTCTCTTGTGAACCGACTGAAGAGTCCGAGTCGTTTGATCCCGAGATCACTGTGGAACAAAATGCCATTCATCGTCTCTGTACCGAACTGATTGCTGACTATGTGGGTGGCGACCAAGAGGCGGCCATGGATGTCGACATTTATCCGGATTTGTTGGCGAATATCCCTGCCGATTCAGAACTGTGCAACCGTGTACGACGCTATTTTCCCCATTGCCAATGGTGTCAAGAAACCTCTTGTGGATTTGGTCCTGACGACGAAGCACCCTTGACGTGCGATCCCAATGCCACACTCGACTATGAGAATGAAGAGGGCGTGTGGATATTCTCCCCCGAAGACCAAGATGCCAATGTAGAAGACAACAGTATATGTTCCATATTCAATGACATTCTCTCCTCGGCAGCTGTCACCAATCTCAGTGCCCATGCCGAGAAACTGGCAGAGTTTGGAGGGCTACCCGAAGAGTGCCGCCATTTCCGGAGAAAATATCCACGCTGTTACTTTTGTTCACCCAATACGCAAGAAGGAGAAAATTACTGTTCCTGGGATGCACTCTGTGAAAAAGCCAAGACACTGAGGGATAATAATGAGACACTACCCATCACAGTAGACGACAACACTACGATCCAGCAAACATGTCAAGATATTGGATTTGTGGTCAAGGAAGGACTGCGACAAATATCCACCACCGACCTCTGCGACCGGGCTCCACTTGCTCTGGCCACGGCCTGCCCGCAGCATTGCGAGCCATGCTTTGACCCGGCACAACCCCTATCTTGTCAAGACGAAGAAGAAACACAACCTCCCACGACTATTAGTACAGAAGACTCATTCCTCGAGGAACTAGAAGATATTCTCGATTCCCAATTTGATATTTCCGTCACCCTTTGTGTCTTTTTGTCCTATAACATTCAGAGCACGGGAACGGACATTCTCGACGTGCCAGAGCACATGCGAGCACTGGAAAGCGTGCGAGCGAGTTCTCCGTTCTGCCCCCATTATCGAGCCGTCTATCCTCGTTGTTTCTTTTGTCGCGACGACGACGAAAACGATTGGGATTGTTCCAACGACGAAGATCACCCGGTCTGTCAGCTCGAGCCACCCCAAGAGGTCTACACGGGCGACAATCCGGAACAGTTTCGGGCCGCCTGCCAACAATTGCAAGAAGTATTTTTGGAGGATTTGTTCCCATCAACGCGAGAGCTGTGTGCCCAGTCACAACAATTCTCACGGTATTGTCCGTGTGGGGAAATTGAAGAAGAGTTTTCCTATCTGGGAGCCGACACGAATGCCAAGAAACAAACGTTGGTGTGGATGCCCCGCATCTCGGCGGCACTCTCCTTTTTTGGAGCCAGCTACATTCTATGGATTGTCTTGTCCAACCGCAGCAATCGTGGTTTTGTGTACTTTCAATTGCTGGCGTGTATGGCGGCGTTTGACTTGATGACGGCAGTCTCCTGGGCATTCTCGACGCTGCCCATTGACAATCACAACATTGCTGGTGCCAAAGGAACTGAAGCCACTTGTACCGCCCAAGGATTCTTTATCCAACTTGGCTTGACATCGGTCTTTCTCAATGTGACGCTGGCCCTGTACTATTGGTTGGTGATTGTCCGCAATGTACGGGAATCCAGGTTGCGAGTGATTCGGCCCATGCTGTTTGCTCCTCCACTGATTCTGGGGTTTGGACTGGCATTTGCGGGGATTCCGTTTTTTCAGGGACTGGACTATGCGTGCCACATCAAGCCAGTACCACACGGAGACCTGTGGCAGGTTTTGCTCTTTGTGGCCATCCCAATCGGTGCTTCCATCTTGTCGATCAGTGTCACCATGATAGGACTCTACTGGAAGGTACGAGAGCAGTCCCAGGCAACCAGAAGATGGCGATTTGGGGGATCCGCCAAATTGGAGAAACGAGTCTTCTGGCAAGCACTCTTCTACACCATGTCGTTCTACATCACCTGGCCCGTGGTTCTCTGTGTCTATGTGACTGGAGTGGATGAATCGACGGAAAACTTTGGTTTTTCCGTTTTAGTGGCGTTTGTAGCTCCGTTGCAAGGCTTCAACAACTGGTTGGTTTTTATCCGCCCCAAGGTGAAGAGCCCCATCGATCCAAGCTCCTTGCGGAGCACCAGCAAGTATATCTCGCGATTCTTTGGTGCGGGGTCTACAGGTGACTTGCAACCACAGAGTCGTGATCTGAGTGAAGAAGTTGTGGCTATTCGACCTGTTGCCAGGATGGTGGATCCTTCGGTGGTGGTGGCCCAGGAAGCACGAGACTTGAGCAATATTCGCACTGAAACCGCAGTCGAAGACACACCAGCAGTTCCTGGAGCCGTTGAGGAGGAAAAACAGGAAAGTGCAGATTAACATTGCTACAGCCGCCAATCTCCCGCCGCAAGTCGAGCTGGGGACAAACACTCAATTGACGTTCATGTCCATATCAAGGCTGGACTATCCATTACCCTCATTGAGGCTTCATCGTGCTTCAAGAGGCTCTCCGCAACTTCAGCATTGTGCCCCGAGAGATCGGTTCCACTTCTATACTCATCCAAGCAGGAACCCTTTGCCCTGCTGAGTTTGCTCTTCTCATGGTACTCCCCTACCGGTACTACGCTACCAGGTATGCTCACCGCTGGCTCTCCTAGAACAGTAGCTAAGCAATTCGAACAAGCTTAGAGCTGTGGGGAAAATCGTTTGGGTCAGCAGTCTTGGGAAGATCCAGACAGATTCAATCCTTCGATTCAGTGGAGATTCCCCGCAGCTCTAACCGAGATCATGCTCGCGAGAGTAGCTAGCCCTGCCCAGCAGTGCCTCCTCTCCTTCCCCCCTAAGCTTGGCCCGCTGGTGGCTTTCCTGCAAGAGCCACTTACACACGTAATCTAACTTTACATTCTACATGACCCCAGCTTTCCAGTAGACCACTACCGTATGGAACCAATGCACCCCAACGCCCAATCTCTGCAGGGGAAGATTATTAAAATTATTATTGAAGACCATAATCAAGTCCCGCTTGTTGAAAACAAGACTCCAGGAAAGATCGTGTCTTTGGGATCGCGTCAAGATCCTTTGCTGAGATCGTTTCGTCAACAACGGGGAAGAGAAAAAATGTGAAAGACCTCTTCTGCTCTTCTGCTCTTCTGCACTAATACAACTCTACACAATTAGGTTGACACCTCTATTGTGTGATGAGACGCTCCGTGAGAAGGGCGTTTAGGAGCTTTCTTCCCCTCCTCATTTCTTCTCGCCCAACACCTAGCTCTTCCTTCCAAACTACTTTTACCAGGTTATCTCTCCTACGACCATCCTCTTCTACATCGACCTTCCAACCGCTGGCCGCTGGTAGAGAACCTCGGACGAAATCGACTTCTACTACTACTACAGAAGAACAACTTATCAGTAAAGAAGAACAGGCTCGAATCCTTCGCACGGGTCAAGCCAAACACCGGTTCGAAAAGGCAGTTCGGAGAGAAGATCGCATTACTCATTTAGAGGGAGCTTTAGCAACACTCAGTAATGCCGAACAATCCGAATTGGAAGGATTGCGGCAAGTGAGAGACACGTTTGAGGAACAGTACAATCCTGAATCCTTTTCGGAAGACCATGTGGAATTTAAGAAACTTCACAATCAAGCCTTTGTGGCATTGACCCAGTATTGTCAAGACCAACGGCAAGTAAATGATGATACTACTACTGAGCCTGTGAATGTCTTTTTCTTGGATGGCCCCGACGGATGTACGGCGTCGGCATTGATCGATTCTGGCCTATTAAATCCTTCCCAATGTTATGTGGCCAATCGTCACTTGTCCACTTGTCAAGCCTTGAGAACGTCCGGTGGAGGATTGTTGCCCGAGGAAAATGTCCTTTATGCGACCGCAGCCGAAGCCTTGACTCCCTCCGAGGAAGACGACAGTCCCTCCTTTTCGGATATTCCTTTTTCCGCTTATTATTTTGATGGATGTGGTGGATTTGTACCACACATCATTGATATGATGACCTCGGCACTGCTACTGCGAGACGACCCAAAACCACCACTTGCCGCAACAACAACAATCGCCGTGGGATTCAGTCTCATGGGGGGAAACAAAAATGTGATTGAAAAGGAATTGGAGGCTTGTCGAGCTCTGGCCGTTATTGCTCGAACGAGAGGAATGAGGACACTGCATGTTTTGGATGATCCGGAAAAATATGGGATTCCACCAGACATTCCCAAAACCGGGGGTGGTACTTTTACCACCTGGATCCTCTTGGAGCCTGATAACTAATTGATCCATTCGCTAGCTACTAGTAGCTGAGCTTGCAATACACTCGCATCTGAAAACAATTGTAGACAGCAAGCCAAAATAGACAATTTAACAATTCTCTTCCACACTTCCTTACTGTACCGTAGTCGACTCGTGGCAGGGTGCACAAGAGAAGATTTATGAAAGATCCAGCAAGATTTGTCATTGAATCCCGCTTTCTGAAAGCAAGACTCCAGAAAAGATACGGTATTTAGATCCCGAGGGTGCAAAGTCCTCCGAAAACCAAAGAGGCACTCGTTCCCTTCCCCTTCCCACACTTCTTGCTTCATCATGTCTATCACCATCGCTGACTTGACTACCATGGCTGCGGGCGCCACGGCCTGGGCAATGGCAATCCCAGCTGTCAAAATTGCTGGAAATGGCGTTGCCACTGGAAGTGACACGAACAAGGGCCTGGCTCTCTTGGTTGGAATCGGTATTGCCTACGCTACCACACCTCTGCTCAGTCTCGTCCTGGGGTGGAAGACAGCGAGTGAAAAGGTTCGAGGCGTTGCTTTGGTACGCAAGAACTCTTGTTGTTGAACGTCATGATACAATACTTCGCTTTTCGCTGATGCTTCAAGTCTTATTGTCCTTCCTTCTCTTTCTTTATAGGCACTCGGCACGGCACAAACGATCGATGGTCTGGTTCATTTGTTCTATCCGTCATTTTACCACGAAAACCCAACAGTGGGATTGGGATGCGCTGGAAACATTTTTTATGGAGCTGGTTTGTTGGGTATTTTCAGTGCCTACCAGTAGACGCCCTGTTGCGACAATAGCGGTGCAACCAACTTCCTCGCTGTCGCTGTTGATATCTCGAGCCGCCAACTGCACCTGTATTTGTACTTCTTGCTAGCTGCCGGTAGTACTTTGATGGTCAATGGCATTCTGGATGGAATAAATTGGTACCGTAATAGCCAGCAGCTGAAGATGCAAAACTGTAGGTAGCATTCATTTTCAGATTCTGAGGTTTGCTAGAGCCGGGATTGTATCCTTCTGTCTTTCCGCAATAGCATTGTTGTCCTTTCTCAGGCTGCATCGAGTAGACTACGGCAGAAGAGAGCAGATAAAGAAACTGCCGCTTGCGATGACGATTTGGGATGCTTGCTGGAAGTGAGATGCGAGGATTTGACACCAGTACTACGGCAGGGATTCTTCGACAGCAATGATTATTCCAAGAGTGCCTTCAAACTAGAATCTCTTGGCTGTGGATTGCGCTGCTCGCAACTTCCTCCTTGTCACCATTATGGTGAGAAGGGATATGCTGAGTTTGGAGCTTTCATTGTTCCCGATACCCTTGCTGCTGGCTAGCTCCTTGGTAAATGTCTGTTGTGTACTACTGAGTAGCTACAGTATTAATAGTAGTGTTAGTTTGGTACTTGGTTCGATGTTCCCACCGTGCCTTAGTGCTTCAAATGCCGTAGGAATCAAAGGACTTATCAACAAGCCATAGACAGAAAATGGCTCATAACCCCAGATTCCAAGCCATCATCGCCCAAGGACAATCGAAGCCACGGCCAACCTCCATCCAAACAGCCGCACAACCACAACAACAGACGCCTTCGAAGGACAGCGTCAATGGAAACAAAAGAACAACACCAGGGATTCCAACGTGGTCCCCCACCGTAGTACTAACCTGGCCCGACGATGCTTAACTTCGCTGAGCAGACGGGAAGCGGTGCTGTCATCGTGGTATGGTCGTTCCTGCCATTGCAACACCGTAAAAATCCTATGTTTGCATTCCGACAGTAACGACTTTCTCAGAGAATGCATTCATCAAGTGTTCCCAATTCCTAACACTGCTTTCGTCAGCGTGCGTTTCATCAGAGACACCGACACCATCCCCAACACCGCAGCAACAGTGCCTCACCGAAAGACTAGCAGAAGCCCTTGCTACCGGTACTGCCCCAACACGAATGACCGCCACAGTTTCAACTTGAATGAAAGCCTCCCACCAACCACCGCTGTAGGATGGAAAAACTGCAGGCGGGGTGCTCTCAGTTATCACGGTAACAGACTCATCGTCTCCAAAAGCAGATTAGGCAAAGTTGGGTTGGAGCGATTCCGCAATTTTGACAACCTGAGGAGTCGTATCAATCTATTGCTTGCTGTAGTATTGCTGAACAGAAGCAAAGCAAGCATCTTCACAGCTACGTTGTGCATGCGTTGAAGCATAAATAGTCGTAGCATCAATCGCTCGGGACCAGCCAGTCTTATGTTCCTGTTCGTGCCCGCTGGCTACAGTACTACATTATGCAGCCGGCGAAGGAAGTGGCCAAGTTCTCAAGCCCAGCTACTTAGATCACACATTCGTCGCCTCGCATGGGCCATTTTCTTTAGGAGCAATCTTGTCCACGGCCGGCTTCGAGCGAGTGAATGGCAGGCCATGGCATGATGACATACTGATAGAAGGATATCAGCACCACAGTAGGTGGCCACAGCCCGAACTTCTCACCACATCTCTCGCCCCCGTGCACAGGGCACCAATGTACAAATAACAATCAGAGAGGCGTGGTATACCCGTCGACATGTCCGGCACCAAGATGTGTTCCGCCAAATTTCTTCCAAAGATCTCCCTTCTTCCTTTCCTGGCGTGAGCTTTAGGTGTAACGCCTTGAGCTCGCCTAATTGGTGCCTGCTAAGTTAGTTGTTCTAGGATTACCAGCACCCGAAAACCATCTTGGTTTGCTTGTCAACCTTGAGGGACAGTTTCCGTGTCGGAGGCAGTCCGAGTTTCCCATTCGTGGATACTCGAAAAGATACCTTTTTGTCTCGTGACTCGAGGTCGACGTCACATCGATGTCTGTGTCAGAGCCAATCACCACCGCAGTCTGACGCATGTGCAGTTGGTCAAATAGAGGGGGCTTGAAGCAGAACAAAGTTTGACTAGTCGCAGGACAGTCAAGTGACACTTTCGTTGACATGTCACGGATGGAACAGGAACATGGCACGGATAGAACAGTTGAGAAGGAAATGGAAGTGAATTTGGCGGAACGAACACGCACAAAACAGCTGCCCTCTCTAATTTTATTACGTCATCTTCAACCTTCAAGTGCTGACGTTCGAATGAAGTCGACTACCAAACTCTATCTCTCGTGGAGGGAGAAAATTTGTGACCATCATGATGATGTCAGCCATCATTGACCCACAACAAGCAACAAGAAGCAACACGCTCATCTTTTGCCCCCACACTGATCTCACAATTTTGGAAAGACGATCTCTCTCGCCACCACTCGACAAGGAATATTCAAACAGTCATCTTAGACTCTTTGCTTCAATACTTTATCTCAGCAGATTATTATTCATCAGTTACTTTGCCACCATGAACTCCAAAGCCGCTCAGTTTTTGTTGGTGTCTGCCCTTGTTGGCAGCACTTCTGCTTTTGCTCCTTCGTCTCGTGTGGCGAGCAGTGTCGTCGTTTCCACCAAACCAAGCAACTTTCGTCTCTTGCAAGCATCCCCTGAAGCACAAGAAATGTCCTCGGAAGAAGCCAAGGCGGAGCACGAGATGGCCAGTTTGGATTTGTCCAAGACAATTTACACTGCCTCCATCAAGTCTCCCAAGGATTCTTACGTTGCCTTTGCCGAAAAGGGAGCTGCCAACGCCAAGATGGCCAAGCGTAAAATCTTTCACCAAAGTGTGTTGGGAGGATGCTACGTTGGATTCGGTGCCTTGCTTTCTTTGAGTGTTGCCGGTGAGTTATTTTTTCCATCTTGCTGTTGCTGGATACCCCTTGACGACGGCATGATTTTGTTCCAATTTTTTTGGACAAACTGACGGTCGATCAAAAAAATGACGTCCACTCAACACTGTTCTTGTTGTTGTTTTATTGCTATCACAGGTAACATGGGAGGCATTGGAGGACCCAACCCTGGTCTTTCCAAAATGATGTTTGCGGCTCTTTTCCCTGTCAATCTCCTTCTCATTGTCACAACCGGTGGACAGCTCTTCACTGGTAACTCTGCCACTTGCGCAGCGGCACGATACGAGGGATTGATTGACAACTACGAAATGTGCCGCAACTGGGCCGTGTCGATTGTGGGTAACGTGGTGGGATGTGGTCTCATGGCATTGATTGCCAGCTATGTGGGTCTCCTCAGTGGAGGTACTGCCGCCCTCTGTACCAGCACTGCTGTCGGCAAGTGCTCCTTGTCCTTTGGAAAGAACTTTGTCAAGGCCATTCTCTGTAACTGGATGGTTAGTATCGCCGTCTACTTGTCGGGTGCTTCCAATGATCTCGTCGGAAAATTGGTGGGTGTCTGGTTCCCCATCAGGTAAGAACAACCAACAAACGAATATTGCAGCGGCTGCTTGAGAATCGAATCGGTTTGAAAGTTTCTCACTCCCTCCCTCCATGCCTTCCGAAAATTACAGTACCTTTGTGGCTATTGGATTGGAGCACTCTGTCGCCAACATGTTCATCCTGCCAGCTGCCTTGCTTTTGGGAGTTCCTCTGACAATTGGAGATGTCATTATGCGAAACATCTTGCCTGTCTTGTTGGGAAATGCCGTGGCTGGTGCCATTGTGGTTGCTGGATCCTATTCGTACCAATTCGGACGCTTGGGTGGAAAGCGACGAGCCATCTTTGCCGAGCAAACTGCTCAACGTGAGTTGCGCAAGCGCAAGGCTCTCCTGAAGAAGAAGAACGAGGCTTTGGTTGAGTTCTCCCCCTCCATCTAAGGAGCGAGAGAGACGGGAATTCCCACGCCTCTAGCTAGTAGCAAATGCTACAGGCTCTTCTTTTTGACCATCACCCAGTAGAGGATGAACCCACACTTGGAAGCCACCGCGTTGTCGATGGAGCACATCCACAACTACAACAAACAAACCCAAAGCAGTCCGTGCAACCTTGAGAAGGAACCAACCGCTTGGCTCGGACTCAAGCAATCCATCACTGTCTATACACTAGCACACTAAAGAAATATATAATGCCCACATTAGCAAGACCACAAACACAACTCGTCGCGTTTTCTGTGTACGCTAAAATGGAAGGCATTGGATGGTCGTCTTTTTGTTCGCCACAACCTGAAAACTCTGAAAGAGCTGCACCTGTACCCGACAAAGATATGCAAGGAAGATCTGCAGGTGGCTATCTGGGGGCGAGAAGTTAAGGTCCCCCCAAATCCACCCGACAAACTCTTAAAAGAGATGGACGGTTGACGAGGTTGATCCAACGACTAGCATACTGTTGCTTGCCGAGATCTGGGTGGAGCCAACCAATCTTAAGGAATGAAGACGACAGAGCCTGCTTTGGCTGCTCCTCCTGTCAGCCAGGCGGGGCCGCTCCGGGAGAGGAAGAAGCAGTACTGGCAGTGAAGACTGAGGAGCACTCGCTCTATTTCTGACTGTTTGCTTGCCCGTGATTGACGCCAAGAGGAGAACAGGGCAAGAGATATCTGGAAGCTTCTTTCGCCAAGTCAACAGATCACAGATCATTCGTGACCAAGTCTGGCTGAGCTTTGAATGGGTGGCTGGGCTTCTTGTGGCTGGCTGTGTCAACAATCTACGGTGGTGCTAGTACAGCCAGGTGGTTCTAATTGCAAAAGCATGTTGCGGTAAGGCAGAACCAACCCGAGTACTGGTGGGATCAACAGGTTCACTTGGCAAGAGGCAAGAGGCAAAGCCCAGCCCAGTCAACCAGTACCTGGTACTGCGGCATCATCCGCGGACACACTTCGACTGTGACTGAAGAAGAAAAACACCCAGACAACCAGTTTTACTGGGACGAACTAAAAGGTAGATGTGGTACTAGTAAAGATACTCCAGTTGTATGTATTCAATCAAATATCCAAAGAACATGACAATTTTACTCCAACTACCTCAAGCTGTAGCTTCCCGTACCGGTAGCATGTTCCTTCAATTTTTGCGTTTCGAAGCTCACAGCGGACATACGAAAACCTGGCTGATAAGCTAGCCCACCCACCTGAAACCATCACAAACCAAACTCAAAACGGCGGCGCAACAGCAACTAGCTAGCTACGGTCCTCCTCTCCAGTTGCTCACAAATCAATATCTAGCTAGAACAAAAGAATAACAGCGTCTTCGCACCAAGAAAGAGTGATAAATATCAGAGATAGCCATGATCGAATCAGCAAGACCAAGCAAGGAAAATTTCACCATGGCACCATGAAAGAAACCGCCACAGAAATCGGGGAGATTGATTCTTGCAAAACAGATGCATCAGCATGGAACGCAGATCTGGGGCGATGGATCATTGCACAGTTGATTGATTATTCATGCTGCGGGGCAGCTGCAATGATTGGGTGGTGTCTTCATGGCTCCAATCCTAGTCCAGCTGTTCAAGCTGGCAAGATCGGAATGGGGCTGCTATCCTGGAGACTGCTCTTGTGCATGACTCTAAGCGCCGTCCTTTCCATAGCCTTGATTTACGTCCGAGAACTAATTCATTTTTGGTTTTTGGGAAGTCTGGTTCCAAGGTCCAAACAGAACAGCAAGCAGCTGACCAAGATGGATATCATGTTTGTGCTTCAAACCGCCATTGTATCCATCTGTACCTTTTGCATCATTGAATACCATGGTTTGACCTATACTGAGACCAACAAGTTCGGCAACGGCAGCAACTTTGTCTGGTTCTTGGTTGCAGAGGTATATCTCCCGTTCTACACTTTGCTGGTTCTGCGAGATGTTGTCTTCTTGTGGCCTTTCCACCAGCTCCTGCATACCAAGTACTTTTACCACTTGCACAAAACCCACCACAGCATTGGCAAAGACGCTCAAGGAATGCACGCCTTCTACATTGATATCTTTGATTTGCTGATTGAAAATGCAGGAGCACCTGCCTTGCTTCTGGCCTTTCAGTACTTCAGCGGCATTGAGGTGGGCTTTCACCTACTGGTTCCATATCTGCTGTCTTTTCATGATGGCGCCCTGCATTCTGTTAGTCCCTATTCCGCCATGTACTTTTGCCCAATCTTGGATTATGTATTGAAGCCTACCATTCATCACCAGCTTCACCACGCCATCCCTCGCAACAAGGACTACCTCTTGTTTGTCCCATATCGTCACTTGATTCCTCGCCACAGACAGGCAGACATTGCTTACTTCAATAAGGTCTTTGACACAAACTTTTACTCTTCAGAGAAACAACAGACAACTCAACAAGGGTCACCCCGCTGCCACAACGAACGCAACATTGTGATCGCACCATCCGCCTAGTTACTCAGTAGGTAGTAGAGAAGCCAAAACGTTTTTTTAAGAATATTTCTTTTCGGTCAGTACCAGGTATCCTCTGAACATCCACAACTATTGCAACACTTGCTTGCTTACATGACATAGCTGGTACAAAAGCACTGCACCACCACTCTCAGAAAAACGCCCCCCCCCCCCCCCGTCGATTGGAAACTGCAATAAATAGCGAGTCGTGTTTGCCATTGACTTTTAAGTTCCATTTTTTGGCCTTTCTTCTCACAATCAAGGGTCATGTTGTCATGGTGATACATACATGATCCTGCTCCAAACTCCAAACTAGGTTGGTTTGCCTACTAGAGCTGTGGTCTCGGACCGCAACGCCAATCCAATCTGCCTTTTAGTTGAATCGACCGATCGATCCATCGCTATGAGGAATGATGTAAGACTATGTTCAAGCCTGTTATTGCCGGTGCAGAATTGAAAGCTATCTCTCATTTGTTTCTATCGTTAGACCTGGCTACCGGTGTGGGAGGGCATTCAGTTCTGTACCAGGTCCAGATCCCACAGAACCTAGTCCTGAATTACCTCGGCAGTCTATCTGCCTGAGCCCTCACCCCCTTTACCTCGGCAGTCTATCTGCCTGAGCCCTCTAGTCTACCCCTTTAATAGGGGCGGGTCCAGGGGATTCGGTCATCGTCCAGCTGTTTCGAGATAGATCTTCGAGACATCAGTAAGTACGATACCATCATTTGGTCAACCTTTAGTAGCTACAATTCTACAAGCCTTGTAACTAGCTCTAGCTACTAGTATGGAGAAGACAGAAGGTTTGGGAAGAAAGACTTCTAGAGTAGCTATCACAATCTACGTACACCAATGGAAAACTTCACCAAAAAGCAATTTAGACGTTGAAGCCGCGGCGCTTCATCTCTGCAAGGAATTCATCCTTGCTAGCCGAAGCGAGGGATGAAGCCGCAGCACCAGTGGACTCCTCCAGAATTGTGTCAAGACGATCGGGCGCCACACGGAAGGAGGGGTCACTACCATCGTCAATTACTTCAAAGGCCTCCTCAGGGAGTGGGATGGAAAGCGTGTAGGCTAGTCGACGCTGTAGGACATCAGTAGCGGCCGAGCCAGTGTGGATGACAGGTGCTGAAGCTTGATTGGCGCGGCTCTTTCCAAGGTCCTTCACAAGGTTGGGAGGGCAGCCCTCCCACAGGGCCTTGTAGGTGTTGCTTTGGTGGAAATGTGTGTTCAAGAGAGCACGGAGGGCGTTCTGGAGCTGACATTTGGTTTTCTTCTTGATGTCGCCCCAGCAGTGCACTCCGACGTAGGTTTGGGCTTGCTTGGAACTAGCGAAGGACAAAGGGTGGCTGTTGCGGATCTTGATGACTTCTAGACAGCCCGACACAAGGAGAGAGCGACCGCGATTCTTCTCCTTCAGTTGCTGCAAATCAGCAAGTTCTTCCTCTACCTCGGCACGCTCATTGTTGGCTTCCGAAAGACGGTTTGATGTCTCCATCATCTCGGCGTTGAGAGCATCACACCTGAGGACGATTGCCTCCTTTCGCTGAAGAGTGTCGGCAATGTCTTCTTCGATGACGATACAATCTCGGTTGCACTGCTGAAACTCTTCATGCAACTCGTTCTCATTGGCTTCGAGCTTGTTGGCTGGCAACGTGATGAGGGGTCCAAAACTAGTCATGGCCGTGGTCATCGCAGATCGAGCAGATTGCATGAAGCCCACCAAGCGGAGTTCTTTGGGTGGCTCATCGACGACAAGCTTGCCAAAGCGGTTGAGGATGGTGCAGTTCTCCCATTTGGCAGCTGGAAGAGGATCGACGCGATGTTTCTTGAAAGAGACCTTGGGCGGAGCACTGCCAGGTACGGTTCTGGTCCGTTTGCCGTTGGGGGTCGTAGGATCGCGGGTGCCTTGGTTGGAATGCATGGCAGCGGTGCCAGAAAAGGGAGGACCTTGATTGGAAGGCATAGCGGCGCTGGAAGGAGCAGCGTCGGCGGAAGGTTGGTTCCCGTTGGGAGGAATGCCGGAAGGAAACATGATGAAAGTGGCGGTAGTAAGTAGCAGTAGCGACAGTAGTAATAGTAGCAGATTCCGTATCCAAGTGATTCTTGAATAAATTGTGAGAACTCTGTGCAAAGTGAGAAGAAAGGCCCGCCCCAAGCAGCGCCGCCCAGTAGGTTGTCAGCCCCGAGTAGGGGCGCCCAGTAGAATGTCATGTCTCCTACGGCCGCTAAAACCAGCTCGGCCAGTTCAAAAAGGGGCGCAGGAGGGAAAGCTGGAATTTGAAATCCGGCAGAATCGAGCACTCGGAGTGGCAAGTTAAAAATTTAGTTGTGGGCTGGCGTGCTTCGCTCTTGCGTTTCTTTTTGTTCGTACCATTGGGTTGTACAGTCGTACAACATAAATGCCTAGTAGTGCGTTGTTGGTCTGAGGGGGTTCAAGAGTGTCATAGGTCATGTACGAGAAGGAATCCATTTCCAAAGCCGTGTTGCCGTCATCAATTTCACGGCTCTTGAATCTGCTAAACTTGCACCCGTAAGCTGTCAGTTGTTTCGTCTGTCTGGTGATGTTGTTCAAATCGATGGCAGCCTGACCACGATGACATTCTCGGTCGAACAAGGTGACAGTAAACTTAATAATCATAACATAAGAATACTCTGTTAATCGGTGCTGCTCTCATGGCGACCGTCATAGTGGGTGTGTTTATCATAGTTGAACCGTAGCACAATACAGTAAGTCAAATTGTTGGAACGTCGACGACATTGTGAGATGTGTTGGTGGAGAGGTGGAGATACTAGTATCACCATTTGCCTTGGCAATTTCGGATGGTCTGCGTTAACGTTGGGGGTGTCAGGTGAAGTGACCTTTCTTGGAATTGTGCAAAGAAGGGATAGTACACGTTCAGTGTCGTTTTGGCATCTTTGCATTGGAGTATCCGTAGGTCGGAAGTTCCATTGTAAGATCGAGCGCCTGCAGCACATCGAAGAACAACGAACGCAGCAACACTTTAATTGTTTCCATTTGAACCGTTAAGGAACGGATTCGAACATTCGAACCCAGCAATGCGTTCTGCAGTATTCCGTACTAGTACGATCGCACCCAGTACCAGTACATACACCATTAAAAACCTGGTAGTCCGCTGTAGGATTCTACACAAGTACTTAATTTCCTATAGTACTTTTTAGGCCTTAAAAACCCTGGTAGTCCGCTGTAGGATTCTACACAAGTACTTAATTTTCTATAGTAGTTTTTAGGCCTTAAAAACCCTGGTAGTCCGCTGTAGGATTCTACACAAGTACTTAATTTGCTATAGTACGTTTTAGGCCTTAAAAACCCTGGTAGTCCGCTGTAGGATTCTACACAAGTACTTTTAAATTTCATACGATTTTAGCAAAAAGTGACTGAACTGAGTAAGTTTACTCACAAACTTAAATTTCCATAGTAAATTTTAGGCCATGATTCGAAGGAGCCGGCCAGCCTGAAAGTTATACGGTCCGTTAACCCGGCACACTAGCGCGCAGCGTGGCGGGGTCTAGTTCGTCCAATCGAATCGGTCATCGTCCAGCTGTTTGGAGAGTCCCCACAGAATCTTCCATTCTGTTCCTGTCCATGGACTTCTCTTCCGTGGGAAACGAGTCTTGACACGTCTCCTTTCATTTCTACTGCAGCACCATCCGGATGCACTCGTTATCTACTGCTGTTTTTGGTTGATTGTTGGATAACTTGGATCCGCACATTTGGCATTCCCACAGACGGCCGTTTCCCACAGAGAGAGCCCACCATGGCCGCAGATCTCTTCCGATTCCGAGCGAAAAAATTCAAAAGGTCTCCGAGCTACAGTAAACTTTTGAAGTCTGTTTTGTGCTTTCTACGTCTGTGCTTCGTCCGTCGCATCTTCGCTGCCAAGCGAAATGTTGGAAGGTGCAAAGTGTGAAGCTCTGCGGAAGCCATACGTACCGGTACTACCGGTACTAGCTAGTAGTACTCGTAGCGCATTAGTAACACTCTCTTTTCAGAACACCGGGTATCCTTCCTGACGGTCAGTGTTGAGAATGGAGGCACCTGAAACAACAGTTACTATGACATACATGTAGAGGCAATGCACTTCATCACTGGCTAGCTAGCTGGCAAAGCAGACCAAAGAAGCAATACCACGTACTGAGTAGCTATCTCTTACATGTATTACCTCCCATTGCGTCACTCAGTCAAGAACACAGTCACTTCAGGCTGCAAGGAAAACAACAGCAAAAACGCCAAAGCCAAGAAGCTGGAAGACTTTGGCAGTGCGAGAATTCTCATCTCCTCAGTAGAAGGGCAGTATGCAGAGAACTTGTCAGCATCATAGGCAACCAAAGTACTTTTCAGTGGCTACCGTAGCTACCGGTACTAGCTAGATAGAAGACTTGAGACGAATACGGTGTGGTCGACACGAGCCACCACTTTGATCACGCATGGCTTTCGCTTGGCCCCGAAGTGCACCCGCGGCAAACTGCAAGGTCGTCAGCATGGCCCCTGTCCTCTTTGAATTTATTTGAAGCGAGTGACTCGACTCGACTCCATGTTGCCCTCAAGAATGGTGATCCAATCATTGGGTACAAGTACTTCCGCAGACAGAGGACGATGGAGCAAGGTTCTTTGGATCCTCTTTGGTCTTCATCCGGCAATCCATGATGGATACAAGGATTCATTCGATTCCGCGGCTTTGTTGAGTCATGAGTATCCGGGACTGAAATTCGAAATCGACTGGACCACCAAAAGCGATTCCTCACTTTTCTTTTTAGACTGACTTTTAAAATAGCTCACCATGGCCAAACAGTCTCTCTAGTGTTTAATCAACATCTAAAAAGAAAAGACTGTTTATACAGTTACCAGTTACATTACAGACCTTCAGGTACTCTTGAGGAGTGAAGGAACCAGTTCGAACAGTGCTCTGAGCCCTCGAACGGTGAAGAAGTAGTCACCGTGGACTCGAACGACGACGATAGCCGGCAACGGTTCGACGTCTTCCCAACCGACTACAGATAAGCCAAGGGTATCCACGTGTGCGCAGGAGTGCACTGGATAAGCTACCAATTTCGAACAACAACAACAGCCGATATTGTAGGCGAAAACGACCGGTGAAAGCGCCATTGTCTCTTCTTTCTTTTTCGATCGAAGAATCGCTGACACCTTGTTGAGTCCATTGAGTCAAATTGACTCATTTGACTCGAATCGGAATTCCGATCGCGACTCGATTCGGAACGGGAATCAGTGACGTTTTTTTGGTGACGTCATCCCGTGACATCATCGCGTGACGTTTTTTGCTGACGTCATCAGTGTCACATCAGACGTCCGAGTGACGTCCATCAGACATCCGAGCGACGTCATAGTGACGTCATCAGTGTCACATAAGACGTCCGAGTGACGTCATAGTGACGCGTCCAAGTATACCCTATAGGTGCGCATCGACGCGCTGGACTCATATCGAAGAACGATAACTTCGTTTGACTACGGTTGGAGAGCTACGCATCTTTTGTCCGCAAGTTTCCACACAAGTCGTCCATCATGAGCAAGACCAGAGGCAACGGCTCTGGCAGGAGTGGGTCGACGAGAAGAAGAACAACAATAAGCAACAGCAACACGAGGCGGCCGACGACAGTGGAGTACAAGTATGCACCCAACTCGTCGGAAGGCAACAGTATGCAGTCCTCCAAGCTGAACAGAGAGAAATGAAACACGAGTCGCGGAATACGAATACCCGCAAGAATTCAGTACGAGATTAAAGAGTGAAGACGATTCAACTTGACGAAGCCAGAGTGAAGTACTCACGAGGAGAAGGATGCGGATTGCCAA